CTATATTCCCAGGCCAGGTCATTCCGTTTCCAAAAATTATCAAAGATTCAAGAGCAGAAATTCTCAACCAGAAGCAATTTTTCCAAGGGACATTCTGCAACGTGTGCAGACTTTTCAGGTTGTCAGGAGGGTGGCGCAGGGTGGACCGGCAGGCAGAGATTGCAGAGATTACAGAAGCTGCCCCACTAGACATAAGCATGCATTCCACCCTACAGCTGCAGTGACTGATGCTGTAAGAGACTTCAGTCAGGATGGTGGCAGGTAAGCGGGGTATCAGCTCCTCCCACAACCACATCAAAATTACAACTAACTACAGAACAACCATCCTTCAGAACCACCTAAAATCTAGCTGAAGGGAAGTCCTACAACTACGGAATTACATCAGCAGCCACATGGACACTGGTAGGAGGGCGGAGGGGACGGGCTGGTCCCACACCCTGTGTGGCTGATGAAAATCAGGAGGACACCTCGGCTGGGAAGGTCCTCCCTGAGGACTGAGGGGTCCCCTCCCACACCAGGCATCCAGCTCAGGGTTCCAGTGCCAGGAAGAGAATCCCCATCACTTCCGGCTGGAAAAACCAGCAGAAACTGAGGCTCAGGGAGGCTGAGGCGGCTGAAGCCCCAGGCAGCTCCTCTTAAAGGGCCCACGCACAGACTTACTCAGACTTGCTCCCTCTAAGCTTGGAGGGGAGGCAGCTTGAGGGGCACCAGAGACACACAGGGAAGAACTGAGCTGTCTGGCCTTAGGACGAGGCCTGGAGAGGCAGCTTTCTCCTGGACAGACGTGCTGGCGGAGGCTTATGTTCCTCTGGTGAGCCCTTCCCTCAAGGGCCAGCAGACGGGCCCTATATCTGGGACTCCAGCAACCTGGCTCACACTGTTTGCCCCACCCTGGTGATTCCCTGAGGCCCCACCCCACCCAAATTTCGGGCCCACCCAAGCTGTTTCCAAAGGCTTCACCATAGGACTGGCCTGTCTTGGCTCCCGCGTCAGAGTTTCCTAAAATCTTTCAAACAAGCAGCATCTGGTCTCAGCGAACTCCATACCTCTCGTTAAGTGGCCCCAGGCCTGGCACTAGAAGCAGCCAGCCTTGGTTCACAACTTGGGTTTTCCTGAGCACCTCCAAGCCCAGCACAAGAAGCAGCCGTCTGCATATCACTTTCTACCTTATGCCTGGTGGCCCCGGGTAGAACACAGGCAGTGGCTGACCTGGCCCCAGAGCCGGCACACCCAGTGGACAGCTTCAGACCACGTCAAAACACCACCACCCAACCACCTCCACAGTGACACACTCAAGGAGTGGACTCAGTGGGCACCAGAGCCCTGATAAAGTAAGTCTTGCTCTGTGTGGTGGGCCCTGCGCAGCTGATCCTCCAAGGGAGTCAGAGGCCAGTGGTCAGTGGGCACAGCCAGTCCTCGCAGCTGATCAGCCCAAGTAAATCCTTCCCATTGATGTGCCAACAGCAATCAAGACAATGGAAGGGTATACAGTCCACACTAGGGGTGCATCTCAAGGGACCAGCTGGGGTGATCAGGGAGACTGTGCCACTGGATCCTCATGACACCTACAACAAAAGGCCACCCTATGAAGCCTAGGAGACATAGCAACTCTACATAGAAACAATCACAGAGAAGCAGCCAAAATGAAGAGACAAAGAAACATGTCCCAAATGAATGAAAAGAACAAAACTCCAGGAAAAGAACTAAATTAAATGGAGATAAGCAATCAGTCAGATGCAGAGTTCAAAACACTGGTTATAAGGTTGCTCAAGGAACTTGGTGAGACCTCCAAGACACTTAGTGAGAACATCAACAACATAAAAAAAAAAAAAAAGAACCAGTCAGAAATGAAGGATGCACTAACTAAAATAAAAAATAATGTACAGGGAATCAATAGTAGAGTAGGTAAAGCCAAGAAGCAAATCATCGAATTGGAATATAAGGAAGCAAAAAACACCAATCAGAACAGCAAAAAGAAAAAAGAATCCAAAAAAATGAGGATAGTGTAAGGAGCCTCTGGGACAACTTCAAGCGGGCCAACATTCACCTCTTGGGGGTGCCAGAAGGAGAAGAGAGAGAACAAGAAATTGAAAACCTATTTGAAAAAATAATGACAGAAAACTTCCCTCATTTGGTGAAGGAAACAGACATACAAGTCTTGGAAGCACAGAGAGTCCCAAACAAGATGAACCCCAAGAGGCCCACACCAAGACACATCATCATCATCAAAATGCAAAAGGTTCAAGATAAAGAGAGAATCTTAAAAGCAGCAAGAGAAAAGCAGTTAGTTACCTACAAGGGAGTTCCCATAAGACTGTCAGCTGATTTCTCAAAAGAAACTTTGCAGGCCAGAAGGGAGTAGCAAGAGATATTTAAGGTGATGAAAATTAATAACCTACAACCAAGATTACTCTACCCTGCAAAGCTATCATTTAGAATTGATGGACATATCAAGAGTTTCCCAGACAAGAAAAAGCTAAAGGAGTTCATCACCACCAAACCAATATTACATGAAATGTTGAAGGGTCTTCTGGAAGCAGAAGAAGAACAAAAGTATAAACAATAAAATGGCAATTAATACATATCTATCAACAATTGAATTTACAAACAAAATGAGCAAGCAGAACAGAAACAGACTCATAGATACAGAGAACTTTCTTGCCAGATGGGCGGGGGCTGGGGAGCTGGGTGAAAAAGATGAATGGATTAAGAAGTACAAATTAGTTGTTAGACTGAGGAACCTCAAAGGGTAGGGGGGAGGGAGAGCAGAATGAGATAAACCAAAGAACTTCTATGCATATCTGCATAAGCAATGGACACTGACAATAGTGTGGGGAAGGCAGGAGGGGGCAGGAGTGGGGAAGAGGGGGTCAAAGGGGGGACATCTATAATACATTCAACAATAAAGATGAGTTAAAATAATAATAATAAGTCCAGCCAGTGTGGCTCAGTGGTTGAGTGTCGACCCATGCACCAAGAGGTCACCAGTTCGATTTCCAGTCAGGACACATGCCCAGGTTGTGGACCCAATCCCCAGTGGGGACACACAGGAGGCGGCCAATCGATGTTCTCTCTCATCGATGTTTCTATCTCTCTCTCCCTCTCTCTTCCTCTCGCTCTGAAATCAATAAAGGGGGAAAATTTTTTTAATTAATAATAAAGCTGCAATAACTAAAAACAGCAGGGTATTGCCCCATGAATGGATGACCTGATGAAACAGAATAGAAGGTCTAGTAGGAGAAGAACATTTATGTGGAAATGTTGTATAAGATGACTCCTTAGATCAGTGAAAATAATATACACTGTATAACACATACTGGGAGAAAAATAAATTGAAGAAATATTGAATGCTACATCTTACCCTCCACAAAACTCAATTTCTTATGGACTTTAATGAGACTCATTACTAATATAAAAAATTGAGGTCCTTCAAACATAAGGTTCAAAAACACTGAAAGCAAAAGGATGAGAAAAAGTTGGTTTACACTTCTGAGTACATAAAACAGAGTTTGTTGTTGGTTTTTATTTATTAATTATTGTACTATTTTCCATACAAACAACTGTAAACCTACTTTTGCCCCACCCTGCATTAGGAAAACATAAACCAAATGAAAATTATAGAGTAACATACAGTAGGCTTTAAGACAAAAAGCTTTACTAGAATTAAAGAACATGTCATATCTCTAAGTTTAATTTACCAGAAAGTTCAAAATTTGTACTCACTTTATAACATAAACTCTAATTATATCAAAACGGAGCTACAAGGAAAATAAACAAATTTTTAATCCTACTAGATTCAACACATCTTTCATCTAGGAAAAGACCACACCTTTTTTTTAAACAATAGACTACAACAAAAATATCGGTGACGATATAAAAACTTCACATGGCAGCAAATTGCAACTAATATTCCTAAATACAAATTCACGAGGCATGTAGACACGCACTGAGTTGTCATTCCCAAGATGCACACGAGATGGCAGCAGAGAATCACACTTGGAACATTGTTAAGGGTGACCATATTGCATGATAAAGCAGGTTTCAACAAAATTCAAAGGGTTGCAATAATATAAACCATGTTTCTTGTTTTCATTGCAGTTAATCGAGAAACCATGAATAAAAAGGTAATTAGAAACTTCTTATATTTAAAAGTTATGAAAGACACTTCTAAATAACACCAAAAATAAATCAGCATTGGAGCTAGAAAATAATTTGAACTAAATTATAATAAAAGTACTACACACCAAAACTTATGAAAAAAATGTGCATCCTTAAATGCCCATATTAGAAAAGCTGAAAACACAAGTTTTGCATCGATATTAAGGACCTAAAATAGTAAATTAAATCATTATAAAGTAGAAGAAAGGAAATGGGAATGTAGAAATGTCTGGAGGAGTATATTCTTAAAATCATGTCAGTTGTTTTACTTCTTGGGGTAGAATTTTGGATAAATTTTGTTCACCTGTATTCTTTAAGTAGCCTGTAAAAAAAAACAAAGCCATTTTTCTTTTAGAAAAAAGTACTAGAGGAAGACATGAAATACTTTAAAAATAATAAGCTTAAGTGTTGTGGTGACCACACTGGAATCCTCTGCTCACCCAGCCTGGTCTCTTGTCAGTCTGAAGAGAATCAAAACTCTTCCTGGTTGTGTAGCTCGGAGTGGCTACTTCTCTGGTTTGCACGTCTTCCCATGAAGTTGCAGAAGTTGTGAGCTTTGGCCTCTGGAATTTATGAGACTGATTCTAACATTTTGAACAGGGAACAAACGTCTAAAAGCCTTCATTTTGTCACTTGTAAAATTTCCTAATTTTATCGCTTAGAACATTCCTTGCTGAAGGACCCAGGCTAGTTGTGACCTCTGCCTCCAGAGAGACCGTGAGGTTGGACCTCAGAATGCTCAGGTGAGCTGCCTGGGTAAGCAGTGTCCTTGGGGACTCGGGGACTCTGGGTTCAGCCTGGAGAATGTGCTCGGGAAAAGTGGTCCCACAGGAAATGCTCACCTCATGTCCTCCGTGCCTCTTGATTCAGGAAACAATCCTGCTGGTAGTTGGCTGTTTGCCTGTGTCCCAACACCATTTATTTTATAATGAGTAACTTTACAACTGACCTAAGGAGACATCATTAACATATAAAAGTTACCTATGGATTTAGGACAATTACTAAACCTTCTATTCTGCTTCATTAATTAACATACAAATAAATACCATAAAGAGTGAGGAAATATTTGGTATGTAAAATGGAGAAGCAGGGTGAACTGCAGGTTTTTTTTAGGAAAAGTGCAGCGCACTTGGCAGGTTATCTTTCCACAGCAATCCCAAAAGCAATAGGACGTGGGGTGTGGGGTGGTCAAAGGCTCCTGCTTGGAGCCTTAATGTCTGAAGCTCAGGCAGTAATGCTTATGTCCCCTTCCTAAAACCTGGTTTTTCCACTGAACTCTCTCAGGAAGAGGGAGAGAATTATAGGTGCTTTCCCAGCTTCTTTTTCTTAACTAGTGCAAAATGCAAAATTTTGGTCCTCATTATTCCCATCTTGGAATGAGAAATAAAAGTCTTACATCCAGAAGCAAAATTAGTAGACTGTTCTATATTTCAATGATAAAATCATTCACTTCAGAGAATGTTACTTTAAACTGTTAAATCGTATTTCAAGACAGATTCGAGTAGATGTACTTTCAAAATTTACATTCCACAAAATATCTTATTACTTACTTATGTGGAAGAGAAACAAACTTCCCTCTAAACTCAAGGTTCTTTTCTGGTTTAATAATCACATTCATATGACACAGATTAGCAACAGGAAAGAAAAAAAAACTTTAGGACATACATATGTATGTATGTGAACCTCACATACATGAGAGACTCAAACACAGAAAGAAAACATGGGTAGCCCTGGCTGGTTTTGCTCAGCGGTTAGAGCGTCAGCCCACAGACCAGAGCCACGGGTTCAATCCCAATCAAGGGCATGTACCTCGGTTGCGGTTGGGTCCCCGGCCCTGGTTGGGGTCGTGCGGGAAGCAACCAGTCAATGTGTCTCTTTTGCATCAATGTTTCTTTCTCTCTCTCCCTCCCACTCTGTCTAAAGACAAATGGAAAGGTGAGAGATAAAAAATCTCTCTTTAAGCCCAGCTGGTGTGGCTCAGGGGTTGAGTGTGGACCTATGCACCAAGAGGTTGCTGGTTCAATTCCCAGTCAGGACACATGCCCAGGTTGTGGGCCCGATCCCCAGTGGGGGGCATGCAGGAAGCAGCCAACTGATGTTCTCTCATCAATATTGCTATCTCCCTCTCCTTTTCTCTCTCTCTAAAATCAATTTTAAAAAATTCTTTTTAAGGAAGAACTGGAATTTATTTTTTAAAAAGGGGGGGGAGAGAGAGAGAGAGAGAGAGAGAGAGAGAGAGAGAGAGAGAGAGAAAGAACATGGTGTACAAGACATTCTGAGCTACGGATGATAAGGTGCCTCGTTGTCCTTCAAGGAATCATTGCAAAATGATAGGACCAGATGCTCAGCCGATAGGTGCCATTCCTAAGATGAACACTAGGGGGAAGCAGGAAGAGCATTTCTTTGGGCCGGAAAGGGGTGGGGGTCAAAGGTTCTTTCTGAGTCTTCCTCCTTGATAAACAGCTTGAAATCAATATTCCAAAAAGCAGCGTGAGGGGGGCAGGACTTTGACCCCTTCATAAGAAATTGTGAATAGTCTGTCATATCAGTATTCTTTAGATGGGTAAATTTATGAACAAATTAATTCCTAGACGTGTACTTTCTCATAGCACCGTTTGTTAAATGGTCCACAGAACAGGTTTGCTAAGTCCCAAATGTCTTTCATTCCCCATAATATGAATCACACATAAATAAAGCTATACTCAGTAACCCTAACCCTCACCCAAATTGTCACTATATGACCATACACAGTAAACTAAGATAACACACACAATTTTCCACACCGAGCCCGCCCTCTGCTGGTCCCCTGGAGACTGACACTCTTTTTTCTTTTTATCCTCACCCGAGGACACTTTTTCATTTCTTGTTCAGATAGAGCAGGAGGGGGAGAGAGAGAGAGAAACATCGATGTGAAGGGACACATCGAGTGGCTGCCACCCACACAACCCAACCAGGGCCAGGGACAAACTGCAACCGAGGTACATGCCCTTAGTGGGAACCGAACCCGGGTCTCTCTGGACCGCAGGCCGACGCTCTAACCGCTGAGCCAAACTGGCCAGGGCAACTGACACTCTTTCTGCCTCATCTTTTCCTCAAGGTTTATGGTGACGCCTGGTCCCATGGCGATGCCCCTGGGTGTCCCTGAGGGGAACTGGACCCTCAGCAGAACACCACCACCTGAAGCAGGGAGAGGTGTCTCTGGCTGGGTCCTGACAAGGCCACGCTGACCCAGGCATTCAGTGGATGCCAGCACCACAGGCTGAAGGCACAAGCACCACGTGGGTCAGAGAGGAAACTCAGGGGCCCTGGAAAGAGTATCTGACTCCCCAGGAGATGGAACCAGATGACGAGCCACTGCAGGCATCTGATGACTGCTTTTCTTCTCCTTGCCCAGAGACCACTCTTCAAAAACTGCTCCAGCCCTGGCCGGTTTGGCTCAGCGGTTAGAGCGTCGGCCCACGGACCAGAGAGTCCCGGGTTCGGTTCCCGCTAAGGGCACGTACCTCAGTTGTAGTTTGTCCCCGGCCCTGGTGGGGTCGTGTGGGTGGCAACCAGTTGATGTGTCCCTTTCACGTCGATGTTTCTCTCTCTCTCTCTCTCTCCCTCCCACTCAATCTGAACAAAAAAGGAAAAAAGTCCTCGAGTGAGGATAGAATAAAATAAAATAAAAATGTTCTACATTGTAACCAAAAATCAATCACCTTGCTCTTTGAGTTTCCAGAACTCAGCCTGTAAAGTTTCCTTCTTTGAAACTGTAACATCTGCCACATTGTCGGTTGCTCGTGTTACCACATGAGACACAACTACATTCACATGAGACTCCTGACGCCAAGCCTCCAGACCCTGAACTTATTTTAAATGCTAAGAATGCTGTTACCATTTTATTTAATCATTAATAATGTTAAAACTGACGAAAGCATTTTTTCCACCTCCTCACATTACATTTCTCTCTGTTTTTCCACTCTTAAACTATCTATGTTTCAGGGGCTTTTTCCCTCTAATCTTCACCAGGAGGAAAGGCGGGAGACAGAGAAACGGGGATCAGTTGCTCCCCCTTGCGCCCTGGCTGCTGGCTGAAGCCGCAGCCCCTGTACGTCCAGGACGCCACTCCAGTGCCAAGCCACACGCCAGCTGCATGTTCTCATAGAGCTGGATGTTGCTTGGAGCACCTTCACCGACGCAGGGGAGAGGGAGACAGAAGAGGTCAGCACAGAAGAGCAACAGGACTCAGAAAGCGGCTTTGGCTCACAGAGAGATAAAGTCAAAGTGACAGCCCGGCCGAGTGGCTCAGTGGACTCAGTCCCAAGGACAGACAGGTCCCGGTTTGATTCCCGGTCAGGGCACAGGCTTGGGTTGTGGGCTCGATCCCCAATACGGGGCGTGCAGGAGGCAGCCAATCGATGTCTCTCTCTCAAATGGATGTTTCTCTCTGTTCCTTCGTTTCTTCCTAAAAAATAAAAATAAGTTGTCATGCATAAATAAATACCCTTTATGTATACAAACAATAAGTGAAATGTATAAGCAATGAAAAGACCCAATAGCAATAAAACCGATAAAAGGCCTAGGAACAACCATAACAAGAATGCACTATCAGCATGAATGAAATTTTAAAATTCTATCCACATAAAAGAAACTTCAACAAGCAGAAAGTAACATCATGTTTTCTGGAGAGAAAAAGACATATAATGATACTGGCCCTGGCCAGTGTGCCTCAGCGGTTGGAGCATCAGCCCAAAGACCGAAGGGTCCCAGCTTCGATTCCCAGTCAAGAGCACATACCTGGGTCGCAGGTTTGATCCCCAGTCCTGGTTGGGGCCACTCCCCCTAAAAAAAAGCAATAGAAAATATATTCTTGAGTGAGGATTAACAAAAAAGAGAAAGAAAAATAGAATGTTTTTAATTTATTAATATTATTAATACACAATTAATCATATTAACTTCCCAAACTTGTCTATAAATGTAACATAATCTAGATTATAACAGACAAGTGGTCCTATGAGAAATATGAACTTAAATTGGGACCTGAAACCTTTACCCCATAGACAGTCTGGGTGCCCTTTTCTGCCCAGATTGGCCGGCTGCAGCTGCTCCCCAGCCCCTCACCTCATGTCTCTTCCACCTCATGTCCACCAGGTCACACTGCTGGCCTCACTTTTGGCTTCACCCCACTGGGGATCGAACCCACAACCTGGGTGGGCATGTCGCCTGGCCGGGGATCAAACTGGCGACCTCTTGGTGCATGGGTCCAAACTCAACCACTGAGCCACACCGGCCGAGCAACATATTAAACTTTAAAATGATTCACGGCCAAGAGCAATGGAAAGAAGGATTTTGCGGTTCTGAGCAATGACTTCGTAACCAGTGCTACCAGCCCCATCCCCAGCAGCTCACACCCAAAGAAGCACCAAGAGCAGAAATGAGTCCAGACAGATGCCTGCAAGTGAATGGCACCGTTAGATCATCGTCCTGCCCTTACGCAACCAAAGAACAGTCTGGTGTTATCTCAATGCGGCCACCCTTGCCCATGGTCCCGACTGGCCACAACAGTCACCCAGAGGGCCACCTTCTGCTGTGGCGTGGGCTGCCTGCAGCCCCGCTCAGAGGACTCTGCATCTCTGTTCATGTCACGCACCCCCTTGTCGGAAAAACACAGGACACAAGCAACCTTGACCAGTTATCCCTTTAAATATGCGATGAGCAAGCCGAAAACCATCACAATGCTGGATGGTCAGAGGGCAGGTATGAAAAAAAGAGAGAGACGCTGACTAGAACGGCCACAAAGACAGCTTCTGCTGGCCCTCCCCGCGATGTTCCAGGGTGGGGCTCATTCCAGCTGGAGGGGAGGCTGGAACCTACCAGCGGTGAACGGATGTGCAATGCAAAAGTAAGTGCAGAAAACCTGAAAGAAGTTTAGCATGAATAAGGTGACATTTTTCCAACTTGTCTAACTGCTGAGCGTTTACAGGACTCCCTAGGAGGGCCCACCTGCCGAGCTCACAGGAGCAGGCCACTGTGCAGTCTTTTTATTTCTGTGGGAGGGAGAGAGAGAGAAACATCGACACACCGAGTAGCTGCCACCCGTATGACCCAACCAGGGTCGGGGACAAACTGTAACCGAGGTACGTGCCCTTAGCAGGAACCGAACCCGGGTCTCTCTGGACCGCAGGCCGATGCTCTAACCGCTGAGCCAAACGGGCCAGGGCCGCTGTGCAATCTTTAAGGTCCCAGGATCAAGTGTCTCTGTGTTTCCCCACCTTTAAAACAGTCCATATTTCTTTCTTTTTTTTCTTTTTTAATATATTTTCTTTATTGATTTGAGAGAGAGAGGAAGGGAGAGGGAAAGAGAGATAGAGACATTGATGAGAGAGAACATCGACTGGCCACCTCCTGCATGCCCCCCCATTGGGAATCTGGCCCACAACCTGGGCATGTGCCCTGACTGGGAATCAAACCGGGGACCTCTTGGTGCAGGGTTGATGCTCAACCACTGAGCCACACTGGTCGGTCAGTCCATATTTCTTAATAAAGAATTATTTTTCTTTTGTTCTCAAATAAGAAAGACTGCAAAATGTTAGAAAAAGACAAATCTTTTCAATCAGTTGTACTGAAAACATTTATTCCTCTCGGAAAATTCAATCTCTCTCGCTCTCCTTCCACACACACACCAATTCCACCTAGACCACAGCTGGGAAAAAATCCATAACAGTTGTAGAAGTAAAAATTTAAAACTTTGCGTGTGTCCAAGTGTGTCGCAGACGATTGCACTCACAGCGTCTCCCATGTTCCCGCGCTCGCGTGCACACGCAGCAGACGCCCTCTTGGGTTCCCTCCGCGTTAGCTACGGGACGCAGAGCAGGACAGAGGCACCCAGCCTGCGGGAAACTGTGTCCAGAGAGGCACAGGAGAAGGGTCTGGGGTCTGTGCCGGTCGGGGCCAGATGGAGGCAAGCAAGGGGCAGGGTGATAAGGGACACCACAGTACCCAACATGGACACGGCCCATCCACTCACTTGTCCGGGAGGTGCACGCCTGAGGGGATGGCTCAACCTTGCCCTGGGTCCTCCAGGGTGAGCAGGACCAGCCCGCAGGACATCGCCAGCCACAAGGTGGCAGCAGGGGCAGGCACCAGGCCAGGACTCCTGAGACCAGGAGTGGCCGCTCCACAGGCGTCTGGTTGGGGATTCAGGGGCCGTGACTGTCTCCCCGACACCCTAGATTCCCTGGGCTGGACTGGCCTCAGAAGGGAGCTCTGTCTCATCTGTGGCCCCTGTTACTTCCGTCAAGGACACAGTAATCCCGCCAGGCCTCAGGGATGGCCCTTCCTGACCCCGCAGTCCTCGCGGGCCCTCCTTCCATCCCCTGGGTGCTGCTGCCCAGCTCAGGTCTCCTGCAGCCCTGGGTCCGGCTCCCACACCTACGTGCACAGGCCCCAGGAGCCCCAGAGGGCCCCCTTCTGCGGCCACACCTGCTGCTACAGAGACGGCCAGCCTGAGCCCCTGGATCCGAGCCAGGGCCGAGGTGGCTCGTGCCTTTGTGTGTCCAAGAGTGTCACAGACAATTCCACCCACAGCGTCTCCCACATTCTCACGCTCATGTGCATACGCAGCAGACGTCCCTCCTGTTAGCTATGGGGCTGCAGACAGGACACACACACCCCGGCCCGTGAGCACCCTAGAAAGGTGGAGGGGTGGGGAGCAGGGCCCCCCCAAAAGCAAGACCCAGAACCAACCCAGAGCCTGCCACCCTGAGCCACAAGCCAGAGGCCCTCAGCATCCCGGCCCCCGCCGGCCTTCCTCACGGACCAGGCTCACATGGCCCCTTCACCTGAGTCCAGTCACCCCCAAACCATTTGCCAACCACCTCTCACATAGCACCAAGCCTGTGGCTGCTAACACCCCCTGCAGGGCGAGTGCGGACACACCCTCACCGCCTGCCCCTCCTGATGGGCAGGGCAGGCCAGCCCGCCCACCTGGCAGGACATAAAGCCGGCCCCGGGCAGCTCGGGCAGCTCGGAGGAACCTCCACTGTGCGCCATGAAGGGGAGCAGCACCCTCCTGCTGGCAGCTGTCGCCTGGCTCTGCACCTGTGGTGAGTCCTGCCGACAGGTACTTCCAGCACATTCTGTCATGAGAGGGGAGGGCTCTAGGGAGCGAGAAATCCAGGCCCTGGGCCCCTCACAGTGGACGAGCCCACCTTCCCAGGCACCCAACCCTTCCTCCATCACGGAACACGGACGAGGGCAACAACCCCGGCCCGGCCAACTCCAGTCCCCTCCTCAGTTCAGCATGATCCGAACCCCAAGCCCCAGGCCAACCAAGCTCATGTGGGGGGGAGTTCCCATGTCAGGGGGCTTGACTTTCCTTCCCGGTGACCCAGGGACACGGAGCAAAGGAAGAAAAGAAAACTGCGGTGGGGGGATGGGCAGGGTCTGTGGGCAGGTGAATTTGGTGATATTATGAAGAAGGTCAGGTGCAAGTGAGGTGAGGCAGTTGTGGGGGTCACGTGCGGTGGTACTGATGGGGAACGTCTGGAGACCACTGGGGCTGGAGACGCGAGCAGGTTAGGGGCTGGAGGTGGACCGCCGTCCCCCTGTCCTGCCGTCCCCCTGTCCTGCCGTCCCCCTGTCCTGCCATCCCCCTGTCTTGGCATCATCTCGCCTCCACCACACAGGGCTGGCCACAGACGAGGACACCAATGAGTTTTTCATGGATTTCCTACAAACGCTGCTGGTGGGGTCCCCGGAGGAGCTCTATGAGGGGCCCCTGAGCAAGTACAACGTCAACGCAGATGCCAAGTCAGCGATAACCGAGCTCAAGTCCTGCATAGACGGCCTGCAGCCCATGCACAAGGCGGAGCTGGTCAAGCTACTGGTACCGTGTCTGGGAGGGGGCCCGTTCTCTGGAGGCCTGCACCCCACTGGCACGCTGACCTGCCTCACCAGCAGGGGTGACATCCCGACCTCACTGCCTGCAGAGCAGCCCTCAGCCCCCCACACACACACCCTCCCCCAGCTGCTAGGAGGGACCAGCTGCAATGTGCCCAGGCCCCCGCCCCCCGCCCCTCACCCCCGGGTAGCCTGTGCCCGTTTTCCTGACGAACCTCTGGCTCTCACGTGATTGGTCCCCCGGGACGAGACCACACTCGTGTCTACCTTCTAGGTACAAGTTCTGGGCAGTGAGGACAGCGCCTAGTGGACCCCAGATGTAGCTACGAGCAGCCACAGGACCGGCTACACCAGCAGCCACGGGCACACCACCCACTGCCGTTTCCCCAAGTGTGAATCTGTCCCCAACTGTTCAATCAATAAAGCTTCCTGCAGCTCAGGCTCTGGCTCCTGTCTCCCCACACGCAGGGACACACGCTAGGCACCCACACGTACAGCATGTGTAAGTCCACACAGGGGCAGACCCGCCAGTGGAAATCCAGTCTGATGCCCGTGGAGGCCAAAGGACACAGCAAGACAAGGAGGAGGTGTGCGCTGGGAGGTGGAGGAGGAATGGGGTTCAGAGCAGGGATGGGCAGAGAGCCCCACAAAGAGGGAGGGGCCAGGCTGGGGGCCAGGCTGGGAGGGGCTCTCGTTCTGAGACAATCAGTACACACCACATGCACATGCCTCTGGTCCAGGGGGTTGAGAGCAATCTCTCCAAAGTCACCCAAGGAAAGAGCCTGGAAGACACCCAAGCCAGAGCCCCATGAACCCCACGGGAGCTGAGAAGACAGCACCTGCTGGGGGACACTGAATCTGAGGGCCGGCTGGCCAGAGCAGCGCCAGACACAGAGCAGGGTCTAGGAAATCCCCACAGGAGAGCAGCAGCCCCTCCAGATCCCACCTGCAGAGGCCCCGCCCTCACCCTGATCCCCGGACTCCTTCCTGCCTGTTCTCCCTGCTCCGTGGTCTCTGCGGGGGGCAGGGCTCAGCAGGTTCAGCTCTGCCCCTCACAGCGTTGCTCCTCGGCCAGCTGGCTCACGACCAGGCCCAGGACTTCACGGTCCCTTTTCCCGGGACCAGAGCCATACCTGGCAAGGGTGGGGTCCCTCTGGGAGAGGCCATTGTCTTCATCACACAGACAGTGATCTAGAACCCACCGTCCCACAGAGCCACATTCTAGAGCTGGGGCCAGGAAAGCCCCCCGGTGTGAGAGGAGAGAGAGGTAGGCCTTCCTCTCCATGCTCCGTTTCGGGGAACTCCCTGACACCAAGAATGATGTGAAGGGACCACCTCTGAGGAGGCTCAGTCCATAGCTTGCTCCGAGCGCTGCACCTGGACAGAAGAGGTAAGGGCCTCCCCAAAGAGCCCCTCGCACCACCCCATAGCACAGCCTCAGCCAAGATGCGCCCCACCTCGGCCCCCTTCTCCTGCCTGGCATGCCCAGCATCCTCTGAGTGGGAGGGGCCTGGGCAGACGCCCTGAGAGCCGGTGAGGGGCGGTCAGTGAGTCCCCGGAAGAGAGCTGGCCTGGCCTGGGCCGAGGCTCTGAGGCTGCTGCCTTGTACTGGGGAGGGCAGAGCAAACCCACTCCTGCAACAGGAGCCTCCACGGCCCTGCGGTGTGGGCCCAGCTGGAGAGCCTGCTGGGGAGTGCGAGGCCTGCATCCTGCCCATCCGTGGTGGCAAAGGGGGGCATGGGGCGGGGGTGGGGCTGGGAGCCCTTGCTCGTCGTCCTGTTTGTGCACAGAGCCGACCATGGCAGAGGAAGTCTGGGTGGGAACCTGGAGGCCCCATCGCCCGCGGGGGCCCATCATGGCCCTCTACAGCAGTCCCGGACCCAAGTACCTGATTCCACCTACCACGGGTAGGTGCCTTGAGCCTGGAAGGGGGTGGGAGGGCCAGGAGCCAGATGTGGGGTGGCCTGGGGAGAGTCTGAGGAAGGGTCTGGGGAAGGGTCAGGGGAGGGTCTGGGGGAGTCTGGGGGGGGGGGGGTCTGGGGAGAGTATGAGGAAAGGTCTGGGGAAGGGTCAGGGGAGGGTCTGGGGGGGTCTGGGGAGAGTGTGAGGAAGGGTCTGGGGGGGGTGGGGGGTCTGGGGAGAGTGTGAGGAAGGGTCTGGGGGGTGGGGGTGTCTGGGAAGGGTCTGGGGGGGTCTGGGGGGTCTGGGGAGGATCTGGGAAGGGACTGGTGTGGGCCTGGGGTTCACCCCTGACCCAGCATCACCGGCTCTGGGTCAGCAGAGGGGAAGGTGTGGTCTGGCTCCAGGCCCTCAGAGCCCCGCCCCCGCAGGCTTCGCGAAGCACACGCCCACCAAGCTGCGCGCACCTGCCTACAGCTTCCGTGGGGCCCCCATGCTCCTGGCAGAGAACTGCTCCCCAGGGCCTCGCTACAGCGTGAACCCCAAGATACTGAGGACGGGCAGGGACCCCGGCCCCGCCTTCTCCATCCTGGGGCGCTACCACACCAAGACCGTGCTGACCCCTGGCCCGGGTGAGCAACTGGCTCAGCCTCAGCTAAGCCCAACCCTGCGGCGGCCACTGCACCCCTGAGCCACGGTGTGAGGGAGCACAGCCGTCCGCACCCTCCTGGTGACCATCAGGCCTGGGCAGAGGGGCTGCTCCCCCCAAGGGAGCCTTCAGCACCTGAGCCCTCAAGTGAGCTTCCTCCGCCCTGCCCGACCCCCGCTCGGCATCTCCGGTCTGGACACCACATAACCAACCTCAGTCGCCATCGTGTGGGGCCCAGAGGACTGGCGCCTACAATCTCGGGGTTACCCTTGAGGCCGCTGAGCTGGCAGGGCACCTGGAGGATGGTCCTTGCCCTCCCAGCACCCCCTCTGCCCCTTCCCTCCTGCAGGTGACTACTTCCCAGAGAAATCCACCAAATATGTGTTCGACTCAGCACCCAGCCACTCCATTTCTGCCCGGACCAAGACCTTCCGAGTGGACAGCACCCCAGGTCCACCGCAGCCCCAGCAGCCCGTGGCCAACCGGGTGGGGATCCCAGTGGGGAGGGGGAGGGGCAGCCAGGCAGCTGGTGTCCGGAGGCAGAAAGCCGCAGGGAAGGGGCCGGTGGGGCCCCGGGTGGGGACCCCGCCCAGCCTGAGGCTCCTGCTGGCGCCCCCACAGGCCCGGCCGCCTACATGCTGCCTGTGGTGATGGGGCCGCACGCGGTGGGCAAGGTCTCCCAGCCCTCCTTCTCCATCAAGGGCCGCAGCAAGCTGGGCGGCTTCAGCGACGACCTGCACAAGGCAAGGGGCACCCAGTGGGGCTGAGTTCACCCCGAGATGGGTCCGTCTGTCCCCTTCCCCAGAAGCCAGGATCCACCAGCCTCATCACCCCTCCTGACGCCCCTGAGCTCTTCACCCCCTGGGTGCCTGCGTGTGCCTGGGTCACAGTCGGGGGCTGAGGAAGGTTGAGCAGAGAAGGGTCCACGGAGCCCTGCGTGGAGAGCGAGGGCGGCAGGCGGAAGGAGGGGAGGAGAAAATCAGCTGAGATATCTGGGGAGGATGGTTCTGGACGCAATGGCCAGAGCCGGGGCCCTGAGGGGGGCGTGTGCTGGAGGCCAAAGAGCTCTGAAGACCACGCCTGCCACCCCCGTGGCCTCGGGCCCACAGGACAGCACCCCAGCCGGAAGGGGCTTCGCACAGGCTCAGAGGGGAGGGGCCCACTGCCACCCTGAGGCTGGAGTGGAGGGTGACGTCCCACACAGACAGGGTCCAGGGCCCCACAGCACTGGGGCTTCAACCCCACGAGGGACATTGTTTGGAGACAGAAGGAGTCTCTGACAGAACCACAGTGACAGGGCCTGGAACCCCACTCCGACACTGGCCCCTTGCCCTCTGGGACCGCACGCCCCAGCAGGCCCAGCCTTCTGAGCCTCTCTTGCCTCCCAGACCCCAGGTCCTGCAGCCTACCACCAGAGCAACATGCAGGTGACCAAGCTCAGGGCCCCGCAGTACACCATCGCTGCCCGCGTGGAGCCCCCAGGGGACAAGACCCTCAAGCCGGGACCAGGGGCTCACAGCCCTGAGAAGGTCTGAGGCAGAGGGGTGCAGCCAAGGGGACAGGGTGCCAGGCTCTGATGAGGTGGGGTGGGGGTGGGGAGGGCACAGCCCAGAGTGGGTGGGGTGAGGGCTGTGAACCTTCAGGGGTCACAGTGCTGGGCACCTCCAAAGGCGCACATTTTCGGCATCTGGCCCTGTCCCCACGCTGGCAGGCTGTGTCCCCAGACACTGGTGACAGTTCGTGTCACTGAGTGTTCAACCCCAGGCTGGGTTGTGTTCAAACCTGGCAGCGTGGCCTTCGTGATGGTCACGGTGGCCTGGGGTTCAGCAGGGACGGCGTAGCCATCAGCAGCCCCAGCCTGGGAGGGCAGAGCCTGGCGGTGCAGGCCCCTCTCACAGCCTGTCCTTCACCAGGTGACACTGACCAAGCCCTGCGCCCCCATCGTCACCTTCGGCATCAAGCACTCCGACTACATGACACCCCTGATCGTGGACCTGGAGTAGCCGGCCCCGCCCCCGCCATACCCCCACCAGACACAGACCCAAGCATGCTCGTCTGGACGATCGTGACATTATTTTTTCTACGCTGTTTCCCCGTTTGCTGATCTCGTCTCCTCCCGTGCCCACATGTATAATAAATCTCCATTCCACTGTAATGGCTCTTCTTCGGGGAGGACCAAGCTTTTCCAGCCCAGGGTCCAAGGGGCCAGATGCCCTGGCCCAGTCTTGTTGTAGACTCACCGGTCACACCTGCACCTGTCCCCTCCCACGTGCTCTTGTCCCCTCGTGACGTACTCTTCCTCCCCTTGAATTTGCACCTGAGCCTGTGACCACCCTGAGCGGACACTAGGTGATTTCTGGGGCCAGGCCACACAGCACCGAGAGGCCGCCTGCCTGGACTCACCCCCACCCCCTACTCACCTCCACAGCACCCAGGTGTCAGGACGAGGCCACCTGCAGCACCAGGGCAGCAAGCCCAGCCTGTGTCCAGGTGAGGCCTCGACCCCCTGGAGCAGAGAGCCTGTCCCCAATTCCAGGAACAGTGACGGGGAGGCATAAATCACTTGCGGTTTCAGTGACCACATTTTGGGGGTTTTTTTAGTCTTCAGTCGAGGATATGTTCTTACCGATTTCAGAGAAGGGAGGGGGAGAAACATCAGAGAAACTTTGACCTGTTGTCTTCCGCGTGCACCCCGAATGGGGTAGGGCTCAAACCCACGACCTCTTGGTTACAGGGTGCCACTCCAACCGAGCCACAGGGCCGGGGAAGAGACTGGGGTGGGAGGTGCTCTGGGACGCACCAGAAAGGCCAGGAAGGCGTCAGCGCTCATGGCACCCATGTAACCCCTGGAGGCAATGCTCTCGGCCCATCTGTCACAGAACCATGGACAGCGAGTGAGGAGGGGCCGGGACCTGGGAGAACCCCAGGACGGGACGCAGGTGGACCCTAGGTGCCCGTGGCATCCGTGAACCAGGGTCAGGGCTGCACAAAGCCCGCTCAAGCCCCAAGGAAATGAAGAAGCTGTTTATTCCAAATGTTTAATGTCCTGTCCTCAGTCACGGGACACAGCCTGGCAGTCTGTCCCAGGCGCCACAGTCAGCCTCAGAGAACAGTGTCAGCAGAGCCCTCCTGCCCCCAGGGTCAGGCTGCACGTGCAGGGCTGAGCCGCAGGAGGGTGAGGCCTGCCATGCCCCCTGCTGGAACCCATCCTAATACATGAACAAGAAGCAAAAAGTAAACCAAAAGAAACTAAACCCCAGGCCAAAAGGGCAGGAAGCGGCTGGGAGCCATGGAGAGGCGAGCGAGAACAGCCACCGGTGTCGGAGCACAGGGCCCTTCTGAAGGCCAGCCTGGAACACCTGCCAGTCTGCACGGCCACCCTCAGGTGTGGCGACTTGCTGCCACAGTGGAGCCATGGTTCCGGGTGAGGCTGGCAACGCAGGCCCAGGAAGGGTGGGCGACACGGAGCGGGGTCCAGCTGTGGTGCCCAGACGGGGACGTGTGCAGTCAGCTGCTCATGAACAGACGACAAGATCCCAGCACGGATCAGTTCGAGACGAGAAGCTGGGCTGAGCCAAAGCCAAGGTCACAGGGCCACTGGACACTGGGACAGGACCACGGGGTGGGACCAACAAGAAGGGAAAGCAGCCTGAGAGAGAGGCAGGTGCGTGACCTCGGTGACCAGTGAGCAGGAGCTGCAGGGGCACAAAGAGCAGAGCCCTTGGGGTAGAAAGGCAGGGACCTCCTCCCTGGAGGCTGAGGGGCCCAGCAGGGCAGAATGGAGGGAAGGACACCATGGTACCCTGAGGACGGGCTAGGCCAGCAGGAAGGAAGAGGAACAGAGGGCAGGTGCCCACAGCTGAAAGTGAGAGCCAGGCGGGAGACGATGGGCCAATGGACACGACCACACGTGAGGTGTCCATGCAGGCAGGTGGACAGTGAGCCAACAATCCGCAAACAGTAGTGGGAGTGGCCAGGAGGGCAGAAGATGGGAACAAGGACAGGGAAGGACAGAGTGTTTCTACGTACAGAGAGGGGCGCTGGGATCGACCTGTACGGTGAGAAGCTGCTGGCCTACTGGCCCGGGGTGTGGTTGGTATGACACAGGGCTGGCAAGTGGGCAGTGAAGGCCCAAGGACAGGCAGTCAAGAGGACAGTCTGCAGAAACTGGGGGTGAGGGCTGGCTCAGAACTCCCTCACAAGGGGATACTCCCTTTGGGAGGAAGGCCCTGGCTTGGTGGACAGGAAACTACCCACTGATCCTGCGCAGAAGCCTCCTAGGAAGACCCACAGGGGCACCCGTGACACACACTCTCCCTCACGCTGAATCGCCAGAGGGAGCTGCTCCTAGAGACTCGGTCTCCAGAATAGACATCTTTGGGCAGATCCTCAATCCTGAGAAAACGCAGGTTTCTGCTCTTGGATACATGGTCGTGAGATCCAGGAGGACTGGGCCCAGGGCCTCCATGCAGGGCTGTAGTCCACACCTTCATCACACTGCCTGCCCTCCCTGAAGGTCTGGCTTCAGCCGTGGGACCGGAGGGCAGGCAGAGGCCACGCGGGGGCCCTCAGCACCGCTCCACCCGGACTCGGCAGCCAGGGCCAAGAGCAACTGCCTGGGCTGGGACTTGGGTGGAAAAGATGATGCTGATTTGAGGTTCATAGCCTCACCTCCTTCCTGTGTCAGATCCAGGCACCTCAGAGATCAGACACGGCCTTACCCAGACAAGGACGGAGTACAGGCGTGTCAGAGCCCTCAAGGCTGGGGAAGAGCTGCTGGCCACAGGTGGCCGTGTCCAGGAATTCCAGCACTGCTCAGAGAAGGTTGTCGGTGCCTCAAGCTCCTGGGGCCCCTGCACATGGCACCAGCCAACACAGCTTGCAGTTGGAGGCAGCATGGTCCCCCAGCCACGCAGGAAGAAGATGCCTAAGCCACAATCATTAGTGCAAAGGAGTATTTTGTAGGAGGTCCTCTGGAACCAGGACACCGGGCCGGGGGAGACCCTGGTTGCCCTGGGCACCCGCAGAAGCCAGCTGGCACTGGCTCACGTCCTTGCCCTCGACAGGAGGTAGGAGAGGATGAAGAAGACCACAATCAGACCCATGGCCACACCACAGAGAAGTTTTCGGTTGTCTCGCCCAGACCGCGCCATTGTGGAGAAGCGCTTCACGCTCCCTGTGAGCAGACCCGTCATGCTCGTGAAGTCCGTGCCCTGAGGGAGGAATCACTGCGGTCACACGGTGTGGTGCCAAGGCCAGGCCAGGCCTGCACAGCAGGCAGGGAGCAGAACTTACCATGCCATCCAGGTACCGGTTCTGGTCTTCTGTATCCCTATCGATGTCCAGGGCCAGCTGATCGGGACAGAGGGGCATGGTCAGGCCAGGGCGTACACACTGTACGGGCCTGACCCTCTCCCCCCAAGACCAGCAGACCCTGTCAAGAATTCTGCCAGACACGGCCACCACCATGTGCCAGGTCCAGGTGTTGCCTGGGCCTCACACAGGTGGGAAGTACATGAAACCCTTCCAGGCCTCTACCCTCTCCAGTCCGCCACGCTGCAGGGTGCCTGCTAGAGGCGAAAGCAGACCACTACTGACCGATTTGAGCCTGGTGACCTTGGAGGCCAGGCTGTCAGCCATCCGCATGTTCTCCCGATCGAGAAGCTCCTCCACAGCACCGGAGCTCTGAGCTGCAAGGAGAGAGAGGCTGAGAGGACACATCCACCCATGAGCCCTCGACCCCTGCGTGGCAGCTCTTTGTGGCCTCAGAGCTCTCACGAATCCCGTCCGGCCAAGTCTGCCGTCTAGGGGTCCTGGGTCCACTTGTGTCTGCCGAGCAGATCCAGCCCTAACCCAGGATCCAGATGCACGAGCATCTGTCCGTTGAGCACCTGTCTTGCGGACATGTTCAGGCCAGGGTGGGCAGGCACCCCCACAGTGTACAACCCCAACCGGTTCAGCAGAACTGGCACTTTAAGGTGCTCTGTCTACCCTGGCAGATTTTGCTCAGTGGTTAGAGCATCAGCTTGGGACCAATGAGTCTCGGGTTCGATTCCAGTCAAAAGCATGTACCTCGGTTGTGGTTTGTCCCCGGCCCTGGTCGGGTCGTGTGGGAGGCAACCAGCCAATGTGGCTCTATCACATCAATGTTTCTCTCTGTCTTTCTCCCTCCCTCCCTCCCTCCCTCGCTCTGTCTGATGATAAACGGAAAAATATCCTCAGGTGAGGAATAACAAATAAATAAAGTGCATGGTCTATCACAGGTCTGTGCCATCCCCCAAAGGACATCCCCATTGGTGTACTTGGGACCTGCTCTCAGTTAAACATTAACACTGTGGGACGGACTAGGACACAGGAAGACTACCCAGGGGACAGCAGGAAGGCCTCTGCAGGGACCACCTGTACACTGAGTCCTGCGGAAGTCGCAAGTCACCAGGGAGGAAACAACTAAGCAGTGCTCCCCAACAACAGAAGGGGCGCTGTCCACCCCCAGGGCAGGCCTGTCTGCTCACCCTGCCGCCCACACAGGGCTGTCTGCTGATACTTGTGACATCAGGTGTGTGAAAACCCCCTCCCCCAGGTTCCGAGAACCAGATGCCTCCGAGTGTCTCAATCGTGGGGGCGCGGCCCCAGGAATCACGGGTGGGTACATACCACAGAGGGATGTTAACGTCCTACCAGCCACTCCTCGCTCACTAATGCCTAACGTCAGGGGGGCTCAGCGACACAGGCTTCGGCGTCCCACTCCGCAGGCGAGAAGGGGGCTCCCAGAGGAAGACGGGGTGCCCGGGGCCCCATCCACTCCGAGGCCTGCTGAGGCCCTCCCACCACGGCGCCTCCGGGACGTGCCAACCGGGTCCCAGAGCAGAACGGCCCGGCGGGGGGCGGCGGGGGCTCTGGGCGTCGGACCCCGCAGCAGCCCGGCCCCGCCGGGACCCGGCTCCGCCCGCCACCCAGGGGCTCCCCGCGAGGCCACCCAGGGGCGGGCTCCTGCGCACGGGCTCGGCGGGCCCCGCGCCGCCAGCGCCGCCACCCCGCGCTCACCGCGAGCCCAGTCCGCCATCGCGCCGGCCCGGACTCCCGATCCGCCGCAGCCTCCCGAGACGTGGCACGGTCACGCGCAGGGGCTTCCGGCCACGCCCCTTCCGCCGCGGGCCGGCGACTTCCGGCCGCGGCCCCAGCGGCCGGGCTGGGCGCGGCGGCAGAGGCGAGCGACAGGGCGAAGGCGGCCGGTTCGCGCCCGGCGCTCAGTGTGCAGCGCCGGCTGCGGGGCAGGCACGCGCCGGGCCCTCCCCCGGCGACCGAGGCGGACCCGGCGCGAAGCCCGGCTGGTCGCTGCTGGCGGGCAGGGTGCAGACCGGCGCTGCGAGGAGCGGGCGCGGGCCGGTCGGAGCCGGTGCTTCTCGCCCGCGCACCCGGGCACCGACCGAGGCCGGCACCGCAGAGATGCTCATAAACGCCTGTGGCCTAAGCTGCCCGCCCACCGCAACGGAGCATTTGTGTCCTTACTGCTCCGGACCACCCATCGGGGTGCGCGTTTTTGTCGGCTTTGCCCTTCCAAAGAGTTAACTGCGTCCAGGCCAGACGGTGTCCCCGCACGTGACGAGGGCCTGACTCCTCGCCCGCACTCCCCCTTCTCCCCCAAGGCCGCCCCCACCCTTCCACTGGCTGTTCCTGCTGCCCGGGGGGCCTTCCCCCACATCCTCCCGCTTCCTGGCTCCCTTCGTGTCGTCCGGGCTCAGCGAAACTGCCCCGGCCTCAGATTCCTTCGCAGCCCACCACGGGGCCGAGCCGGAACCCCTTCTCACACCCTCCCCCCAGCTCCGGGTCGCAAGAAAGCAGACCCGGCCCAAGAAGCGGGGAAGGGGTCCCAGGTTCGGGCGGTCACAGAAACTGATTTGAAGCCCCGGGCTGCCCCGCAGCAAAGCTTCCAGGTTCCAGGTCCCGCCACTTTCGGGCGCGCGCAGCCCAAGCCCCGCCCCGCGGCGCCGCGCACGCCGGTCCCGGCCTCCGCGCGCAGCCCAAGCCCCGCCCCGCGGCGCCGCGCACGCCGGTCCCGGCCTCCGCGCGCAGCCCAAGCCCCGCCCCGCGGCGCCGCGCACACCCGGCCCGGCCTCCGCGCGCAGCCCAAGCCCCGCCCCGCGGCGCCGCGCACGCCGGTCCCGGCCTCTTACGCGCGCCGAGCCAGGGCGGGGCGGGTGGACTGGGGCCCGGAACCGCGGAGCTAGGCCCCTGCCGCCTTCCCGGCGCCGGGTGCCAGGGGCGTCATGGAGCCCCGAGAGGTTGCGGATGCCGTGGAGACGGGGGAGGAGAATGTGATCATGGAGGCTCTGCGCGCGTACAATCGGGAGGTGAGCGGAACCGTGGACGTGGGACGTGCGAGGCGGAGGGGGCAGGGTGGGGCTCGCGCGTGCCCGCACGGCGGAGGTGCGGGAGTGAGACTGTGGGTGGGAGCGCGGCGGGCCGGGCGCCGAGGCTGCAAGGCGTTGCTGGGGAGAGGGTCGGGTTGCGCACCTGGGGGCAGGTGTGAGGGGTGGGGCTGCACCTGCCCTGAGCGATGCCTACGGCCTGTGCTCCCTGAGCCTCTGGATCTTTCCGCAGAACTCCCAGAGCTTCACGTTTGATGCTGCCCAACAGGAGGACAGGCAGGTGGGTGCTGAGTGGTCAAGGGGCAGGACCGGGTGGCTCCTGGTAGAGGTGCCTGGTGGAACCGCTCTTCTCTACCCACAGAGACTGGCAGAGCTGCTGGTTTCGGCCCTGGAGCAGGGGTTGTCACCCTCCCGCCGGGTCACCTGGCTGCAGAGCATCCGCATCCTGTCCAGGGACCACAGCTGCCTGGATGCCTTCATCAGCCGCCAGAGCCTGCAGGCCCTTGCCTGCTATGCTGGCATCTCCGCCACCGAGAGTTTGGTCCCTAAGCCCCTGGACATGGACGTTGTACTCGAGTCCCTCAAGTGCTTGTGCAACCTTGTGTTCAGCAGCCCCGAGGCACAGGTGCTGGCAGCAGAGGCCCGCCTGGTGGTGCGGCTCTCCGAGCGCGTGGGGCTGCACCGGGAGAATAGCTTCCCCCACGATGTCCAGCTCTTCGACTTGCGCCTCCTGTTCTTGCTCACCGCACTTCGCAGGGACGTGCGCCGGCAGCTGTTCCAGGAGCTGCAGGGCGTGCACCTGCTGACTAATGCGCTGGAGTTGACGCTGGGAGTGAGTCCTGGACAGAGCCCCCCCGAGCTCCTTCCGCCCCAGGAGACCGAGCGGGCCATGGAGATCCTCAAGGTGCTCTTCAACATCACTTTCGACTCCGTCAGGAGGGAAGTGGAGGAGGTGAGGGCTGACCTGACCCCATGGCTGATGCTTGCTTGAAGGCCTGGACATTTTCTATACCTGCCTCACTGACAGCACCGGAACATGTCTGGGTTTCAGACTTGGACAGGGGTACTCAGCCTACTGGGAGGAGGCAAGACGTTCTGGGCAGAGGCTTCAGGGAAGGTTTCTGAGCGAAGTGGAGGCTGTGGTGAGAGGCTGTGGGAGACTTTCAACCACGAGTCTGTGTGGGGCCAGGATGAAGTGTGATGTCATCCCAAGGCATCCACTGCTATTCTTGGTGGGGTTTTTTTTTCCTTACTGATTTTTAGAGAGAGGAAGGAAGAGGGAGAAAGATAGAAACATCAATGAGAGATCATTGATTGGCTGCCTCCTGCATGCCCCCCATTGGGGATTTGGCCCACAACCTGGGCATGTGCCCTGACTGGGAATCAAACCAGCAACCTCTTGGTGCATGGGTTGACACTCAACCACTGAGCCACACCAGCTGGACCATCCATTGCTGTTCTTAAGGGGTTGGGGGATGCACTAGAGGACACGGATAGTCAGCATACATGGTCCTTGCTTGGGGCAGACAGTAGAGCCTCAGCAGTGGGGACAGGTGTGGCTCTGTCACAGGGCCCCTTTCTCTTTGGTCAGGAAGACGCTGCCCTGTACCGGCGCCTGGGGACCCTTCTTCGGCATTGTGTGATGGTCGCTGCCGCTGGAAACCGCACAGAGGAGTTCCATGGGTGAGGGTGGGGCCTGTCCTGCTGGAGGGAAGTATGCTCACCTGTCTAGATAGTGGACCATGCTGTACCCTAGAGTGTCTATGTCTGTCTGGGTGGGACTAGCATCAGTCTGTTTCCAGAGAGCCCTGGCACTCAAAATACATGCTAGGACAAGACCCGTGAGTGGGGGACAGGAATGTGCCACTGGACCTTGGGTAGTGGCAGTGGACGGTGTGGCAGGTGACCTGTGCTTAGGCAGATCCTGGTTTTCCAGAGATTGCCTATGATGTTTCAGGCGACGGTGTGGCAGGTTGAGGCAGTTACAGACAGTGCCCTCCACAGGGACCCGCCCCACTGAGTGTGCCGCTGAGATCGGTCCCCCCTTCAGTTCTGGCCCCCGTGCTGCTCCCTAGGCCCTCAGACGCTGCTTCAAGTCATATGTAGCCCCAGCAGGGGGCACCGAGGGTTGTGCTGAGCTAGGGGACTGGCCTTACCAAGCCCCCTCCCATTCTGTCCCCAGCCACACAGTGAACCTGCTGGGGAACTTGCCCCTCAAGTGTCTGGACGTCCTCCTCAGCCTGGAGCTGCATGAAGGCTGCCTCGAGTTCCTGGGAGTGAACATGGACGTGATCAGCATCCTCCTCAGATTCCTGGAGAAGCGTCTGCACCAGGTAGGCAGCGGGACTGGCTGTGTGGGCTTCCCAGAGGCTATGCCTTTCCCACGCAGCTGTGGCCACCATTTTTGCAAAGTCTGGGGATGACTTCAGCTGCCCTGTGATCCAGTCAAGCAGGAAACTAGATCTCTCCCCCCTGGGAAGCATGTGGACCTGCCCACACACATTTGAAGGTTTCACTTCTGGAATCAAGTTTGCAGAGTCTAGCAAAGTGCTTTTTTTTTCCAGACCTATTTGAGTGGTCCTGACCCTAGATTCTTAGTGTCACTGTGCACAGGGATCCCTTGGGGACCAGCGTCAGGAGTCCCATGACCCACAGGAACCTCAAGCCAGAGGCTCCCAAGCCCTGTAGCTGCTGGACACTGAGGGGCGGACTCTAATCAGGCCCTCTGGGAGCTGCAGACGCTGTGGGACTACATCGCCAGACCAGGGATCAGTGGGCTCCTCAGAAGCCACGCTAGGTCTTACGTACCTGGCATTAGCCACTGGCGGTGAATGTCTATTCCGGTTCCTACCACTGCTGGTGTTGTGGTCCAGGGAGATAGCCAGGGAGAGGTGTGCGGGGAGCAGGAGCTCCCTGGTCTGTGTCCACAGAACCCACAGAATAGGGGTTTTGTTCTTGCTTTTTGGCCGCCCTTTCCTGAGGGCAACTGGATGTCAGTGGGGTGCTCACGACATGAAATGCTGTTTCCCCACAGCCCTGGTTTGTGGGTGAGTTAGACCCAGAGCAGTTGAGCCTCAGAGCATGCCTGTGGCCTGCGGGGTTAGGTTCCACTGTGGTCCCTCAGTCGGGCATCCTCCCAGGGCCTCGTGCCAGGACGGAGTGGTGCCTGGGTAGCCCTGGCTGAGTCGGGCACGCCTCACTCGCGGCTTCCCCGCAGACGCACCGGCTGAAGGAAAGCGTGGCCCCCGCGCTGAGCGTGCTGACAGAGTGCGCCCGCATGCACCGCCCCGCCAGGAAGTTCCTGAAGTCCCAGGTAGAGCGAGGGCGGGCGGGCCCTGCTCACCCCGCCACCGCGGGCCAAGCTGACGGGCGGCTGTCCCCAAGGTGCTGCCCCCACTGAGGGACGTGAAGACCCGGCCGGAGGTGGGGGAGCTGCTGCGGAACAAGCTCGTCCGCCTCATGACGCACCTGGACACGGATGTGAAGAGGGTGGCCGCCGAGTTCCTGTTCGTCCTGTGCTCGGAGAGCGGTGAGTCTGGGGCTGGCCGCCTGCCCCCTAGCCTGTGCGTGCGCTGACCTCTGCCCTCTGCCTCCCCTCAGTGCCCCGCTTCATCAAGTACACGGGCTACGGCAACGCTGCCGGCCTCCTGGCTGCCCGGGGCCTCCTGGCGGGGGGCCGGCCCGAGGGCCAGTACTCGGAGGACGAGGACACGGACACAGACGAGTACAAGGAAGCCAAGGCCAGGTTGTGTGCCCACATCCCCAGGCTTCCTCCCTCACCTGGGATGGAGCGGTGGGAGTGCAGCATGACAGTGGGTGAGACCTTCAGAGCCCGGCCCTGTTCCTAAGTAGCACGGGTTCTGACATGGGACATTTTGTTGAGAACAGAGAGTAAAGGAGCCACGCACCTGGGGGACCCAGTGGCCCCGATGGCGGGAGCTGGTGAACTGCTGCTCTGGGAGGGGTCTCTTCCCAGTTACCTCCCCTCCCACCCTGCACAGCCCCCCTGTCCTGAGACTCACTAACACGCTCCCCACACCCCTTCCTTGGGAAGCAGCATAAACCCGGTGACTGGCAGGGTGGAGGAGAAGCCGCCCAACCCCATGGAGGGCATGACGGAGGAGCAGAAGGAGCATGAGGCCATGAAGCTGGTGAACATGTTTGACAAGCTTTCCAGGTATGAGGTCTGGCAGGAGGGCCATGACCTGTCCTGAGAGTCCTGGGAGGTGGGGTCAGAGGAGGGTTTAGTCCTCGCAAGTCTGTTACTAATGTCAGGAGTCCCTTGCCCTGGAGGAAACCCCTTCTCCAGGCTAGTTAGTGAGGTCAGCTTATGTCCCTCCCATAGAAGACAGGAACCAGGAACCGAGACCCAGGAGAGTTGAGAGACCACCTCAGGTGTCAGGGCCACTAGGTAGCAGTGAGCAGGAGCAGCCAGCCCACCGCACCGCTCCCCGCTCCCTGCAGGCACAGAGTCATCCAGCCCATGGGCGTGAGTCCCCGGGGTCAGCTCACCTCCCTGCAGGACGCCGTGTGCGAGAGCATGGAGGGCCAGCTCTCCTCGGACCCCGACTCAGACCCCGACTGAGGACGGCTCCCTGCTCCCCCATCAGGACCGGTGCTGCTTCCAGAGATGTCCTCGGAGCCCCCTCCTCACTCCCAGCATTTGTTCCTGACTTTCCGTATCTGGGAATGTGAGGGTCTGTCCTGCTCACTGTGGAGACACCTGGATTCCTCAGAGGAAGTGGCTTCTCTGAGCAGGAGGGTGTGCACAGAGGCTGCTGCTGAGGGCAGGGCATGCATTTGGGAAGGTGGGGCGCTCCGGCCCAGAGCAGGGGCCCCGCTAGCACTGCATCTGAAAGGGGGAGCACCTGCTGACTTCCCGCCCTGCGCCCGAGACTTGCTGTGCTGCCTGCCCGTGCTTTCCTGTCCTGGCGCCGGCTCCACTGCCCACGGTGCCCATGATCCCGCCGCTCTCACAGCGGAGCCCACCGTCCCCCAGTGCAGGTCGTAAATACACAGGAGGGGGCACCGCTCCTCAGAGTGCATCTGTCTGTCGTGTCCCACAGCGTCACAGGAGCCACCCTGGCATCCTTTGGGCAAGAGTGTGTGTGTGTGTGTGTGGATGTGGGTGAATATATGTGTGAGAGTGTGTGAGACTATGTGTCCGATACCCAGTATCGGCACATTAGGGAGGAACAGAAACTAGTATTGTTCTTGGCACAATTGAACATTTTCCCCTGATCACCACTCAAGCATCTTCCTTTTGAGGAAGGAGGCCACAGACCCGAGGAGTCTGTCACTGGCACCTGGAGGTCCCGCCAGGCTGGGAAGGTGGAGGTGCCTCCCGCGCTGGTTCACCCCTCCTGGCATCACCGGAAGGCCTGGTGGGAGGCGCTAATGGGAAAGGCAGGACCAGTGAACAGGACGGGATGACCGGCACCAAGGGGTGGAGCGCGGACAGTGCTGCGTCCTCAGACACCCCTTCCACATTGTCAGCACAAGCCTCCTGAGGGAACAGAGTGAAAGGATGCCCAGTGCTACAGTAATGTTTATTTCATGCCGGAAATGAACTATGAACTCGTCACAACTAACCCTACTAAAGAGGCTGCCACTAGCTGAGCCCAGCCCAGGGCCCAGTGCCCACGCCGGGAAGTGCTGGGCCGCGCAGCCTGAGGTCTTTCTGACAGATGCCGGCCTCCCTTCAGATGGGGACCCGGACACAGGAGGCTGGGCCACAGCCGGAAGGGAACGCTTGGCAGTGAGGACTTCGGCTGGGTGCGGACTAAAGTGAGGGAAGGCAGGCCCAGGGCCTCCATACCCATGGGTGGGCAGGCAGCAGAGACACAGCGAGAGAGGGTGCTGTCTGGGCCCCACGCTCTGCTCTCTGAGATCGTGTGCTGTGTCAGACAATCTGCAAACCTGCCCAAGCTGGTCTTCAGGCATGAGGTCTGTTCAGAAATGGGTGGTGACTCCATGTGGCCATTTCTGGTTTGGGAACAGCCGTCACCCTATCTGTCCTGTCCACTGAGCTGGAACACAAAGGAGAGGGAATCGGTTACCTGGAAACACCTGGGTGGGCAAGCAGCTGTCAGGGCCCAGGCGCAAACCATCCCAGAACACAAAGCTTTCCTGTCTGTAGACACTGCCGTGAGCCAAGTTAACACTGCATACCACATGGAAATCTCTAAGACACACGCCAGGGACCACACATTTTGGGGCAAACCACATTAGGTTCTGAGCTGCACTCATCTGAACCAGCAGATACCCCTTCCCCAGCTACTTCAAGAATATAGAACAGTGCTGTTTTTCGAACTTTGATCCTCAGGGCGAAGATTCACAAATACAATAATCCTATATTACCCTGAGCTTCAAAACCTGAAATAGCTAATGCAAGTGCAAACCCGAGTTAACTCATGCGCAGTCCGCAACGTTTGGGCAAGAAAACACGAGCTAACTCGTGAGCGGTCAAAAATGTGTTATGATGATGCCAGCAGGGCCGGGCAAAATGGGGTGGCTAGACGGGGGGGCCTCACATAAGCCACCAATCAAGGTGTACTCTGGCCTTTCCTCTTGGACAGCAATTCTAAACCCCTAAAATCAGCCCAATTTATGCCAGCTGTGAAACTAGCAAATCCAACAGGGCAAATCTTACAGGACCAGATCCAGAACCACACAGGGGCTACCTGACTTAACCTTGCTGCCGATGGAGGAAGTCAGAGCCAACAGGCTCCCAGCGAGCTGCAGGCCACCTGAGCCAGGCACCACGGCCTCTGCTCCCCGTGCCCTGTGCGGGAGCACTAGGCAGATTCTCTGCTTCCCTAAAGTGACGGCAATGTGACCTGGGCTCGGTCTTTACTGCCCTCCATGTAAGGAAACGGTACCAGCCTACGTCTCGGCCTAAGAACCAGGCTGATCAAAAGGCCTGGAATGACAGTGACGGAGAAGCTGTGGAAACATAGGTGCAGCCTCGTCCTTGGCCTCGAATTCTCTGATCCAACTGGGTAGGAAGTGAGGCTGCAGCCAGAGTGGGGCTTCTGCCAGTGGAGGGAAGTCACAGCTGGAGGGTGGGGTTCCCAAGACATCTGCCTCAGGGCCACAGGAACCAGACCCACAAATCCTGGTGACTCTCCAGGAGTGTCCCCCTGCCTGCGGGGGCTGTCCTGAAACAGCTGGACTCCGGGTGCCCAGTGCCAGTTGGGCAAAGTCACCCCAGCAGGCACATGCTGAATCCCATGGGAAGCTGTTTTCTGAACCTGCACTTGTCTGGGGGTTCAAATCGAGAGCTCCCAGGCCCCGTGGCACGGTTTGTACGCTCAGCCTTGCCTGAGGGGCTCCACCCTACACAGGCATAGCCAACTCCCCTCTGAGTTCTTGTCCGTCATCTCAGAACCACACCTCGCCTGGAGCTGCTAGGTGCTGCTCTATTTCAGGCAACAAAAGGCACTTCAGACAGAAGGCCACAGGTGGCCAGGCGGCCAGACCTGTGCCCTGCCCCACACCTGTAAGCAGGCCCTCTGTCAGTGTCTTCGTCCCTACATGGAAGTAACAAGAATCACCACCCGATTCATGAGCACAGACACCCAGGTAGGCCTGCCCCAGGACTGACAGCCGGTATCAGTATCACTGTTCCTGTCTGTCAAATGGCTCCACCCCAGAGTACCCTGCTCAGCAGCCTGTACCTTCCCCGTCTCCCGCTGGACAAGGTCCTTCAGCTCCTCCGACCAGCCCAGCAGCTCCACCAGCCTTTCCACGCTGTCCACCAGGTCCCCCAGCTGCAGCACATCCCTGCTGCGAGGACGCCAGGACAAGGGCCCCACCGCTTCCTGGTTCATGAATACTCGGGGCACTGAGCTCCGCACGGCCTCAGACAGGCTGGCGAAAGGTTCCACCTGAAAAATCACCCAAACGTGAGGAGCGTGTCCAGCCTCCGGCCCCCTCAGGAGACCGGCAGTGCAACCCTGGAGAAGAAAAACCCACCACCCGAATTCACCTCCTCTCCTGCTGCTCCCTCACCCCCAGCAGTCCTGACTCCCACTCCCAGCTTCTGGGGCTGCCTGGCCAGGTGCATTGGGGCTCAATTCCAGCAATTATGAAGTCTTGCCTGTCCTCCCCACCCCCAGGCCACATCTGCTCCCAGCACCCTGGTACTCCAGGTCTCCTCGTCTGTCCTCGCTCCCTAGTGAGATCAGAGAAGCTTGTTTTCACTGAGGAGGGCTCGGAGCACCCTCAGGCCGGGTGCTGACCACCCCCACACCCTCCCTGTGTGCACCTCAGACAGGCCTGGCCGCTGGCTCTCAGTGGGGTGCTCGTTCAGGGGTCACAGTGGGAAATGGACAGGTTAGTAGATGGTACCGAGGCTGGCCTACTCTCGGGAAGGAAGGTGCTCAATTCTACCTTTCACTGAGATCATTTCAATTGGATTCAAGATTTAAGTGTAAACAAATCTTGAAGAAAGTTCTGTTTCTATGTAAAAGTCGGAAAGGACTTTTCAGGCATGACAACTGCAGTCAGGTGAGACGAAGGACACTAGCGACTTCTGACGTGACAGCATCACAGCAGGTCTGCGTAAATCCACACAGAAGCCGATTCTCACCTCTCACCATCCTGACCCTGCTGCACAAGTTCCATGAGGCAGACAGGTCATATCGCTCATCGATAAACCCATTTATAAATGTTCAATATGATTTCTGAATTTACATTTCTATAGAAGAAAACCCAATGAAAAGTGGGTGAGGCACAGACATGAGACCCACAGAGACGACACATCGTGGTCAGGGAGCGTGAACAGGGACTTCGTGATCTAGAGAAATCAAGTCTGTCACACGTGTTTATTTCACCCACGCACACTGCAGAGAGCTCGGAGGTGGCGAGGGAGCAGGTGAATGGCCGCCAAGCACTACCGGCACTGTATCAACAGTATGCCTACCTGGAAAGTAGGTTCCTGGTACTTACTACAGAACGTGCAAAAGGGCATGCGTGTGCATGTTCAGGACACTAATGTCAATACAGAAACTACATCTGTTTATTTTTGTTGACCGTCACTAGGAAGTCGCTCACATGAACCACGGTCCATGACCCGTCTCACAGGTCTCGGGGCTCAATGCGCTTCCACCTGAGAAGGCAGCACGGCTCTCGCGCCACAGGGGCCGCAGCTCTGCAAGGTCAGGGTGACCCCACGCCAGTGCGGCAGCCCGGCCACGCCCCACACCACAAAGACCAGCACCCCACAGCGGGCCCCAGAGCAGGGACAACACGCTGACGGTGACGGTGGACTGAAGTGCTGCTTCCTCTGCTCTGTGTCTTCACAGACTATGGATGTTTACAAGCAAACTCGTGATCCTTTTATATCCAGGGTAAAGGCTATTTTCATTTTCACTTAAAAAGTAAAGAGGGGACCTGGCCAGTTTTCTCAGTGGTTAGAGCATCAGCCCACAGACCAGAGAGTTGTGGGTTCGATTCCGGTCAAGGGTACATACCTTGGTTGCGATTCAGTCCCTGGCCCTGGTCGGGTCGTGCAGGAGGCAACCAGTCGATGTCTCTCTCGCATCGATGTTTCTCTCTCTCCCTCCTTCCCTCCCACCTCTATCTGAAGATAAATGGAAAAAGTATCCTCGGGTGAGGATTAAAAATTTTAAAACAGTGAAGAGGATTGGCAGCCCTGGTGCCCACACCATATCTGGCACAGTCAGGCTCAGACAAACACCTGACACCACGGCCCTGCCCTCTGCCTGCCCTGCCGGGCAGTGCCCCCATCCATGCCCAGCGTGGCAGCCCCCCGCTCCTTCGTCTGCTCCTTCCTGGACTCCACTCAGAGTCCACATGCCTGCCCCACACGCCTGCCCAGCAGCCCAGAACACTCCTCAGAGCCACGGGACTGAATCCCCAAACCCGAGCGCCAGGCTTCTCCCTCAGCACAGGGGCTCCATCCTGGCAGCTGCTCAGATCCCAGCCCTGGGGCCCATGGGAGCCACATGCCCCACCCTACTACACACACCCACTCCATCGCCCTGGGCCACCACCTGCTCCACGTTGGTCAAGGTCTGTCAGGACACCGCTCCCACAGGGACAAGAGGTCAGACTGTCGTCAAGATGCTGTCACCCGCTGCTGACTGGTCCCCACCTGGCAGACTGTACCATGTGCCACGCTCCCCTCCGCACAACCTGTGCACGACACTGTGCCCACAACGCACAGCAGCGAGCCACTGTGCCCAGGCACCGCCCTGACCCTGGGGACAAACCTGCAGAGAGGTCCCGAGGATGAGCAGCAGGTCTGCGGTGGGGAAGTCCACCACGTGCAGCAAGAACCTCTGCGGCAACGCCTCCCCGAAGAACACGACGTCAGGCTTCACAACGCCGGTGCAGACTGCACAGGAGGGGACCCTGTCCCCCATCACGGCAGCCTGGAAACACGCAGAAAACTCCCAGGAAAATGTCACAACCATAAAAGGCAAAGGCAAAACAACTTAATCAGTTTTCAAACAGTCACAGCAGCTGAGTAGCAGTTAATCTCCATGTGCATTGTGAACATGGCCTCACCGTGACCTTTTAACAACTCTGCTTCCGAGTCTCCAAAATGCGGAGGACTACACACTATGATTCCAACTCTGTGATGCTCTGGAAAGGAAGCTGAGGAGACAGCGAAGAATCGGATGGCCAGGGGCGAGGAGGGCAGGAACAGACCCACTGACCCTGGCCGGGTTTCTGGGGTGGAGTCTATGTCTATTAGTGGGTGGGGCTGCACACCCCGGGAGTGCACGCCAGGCCAGCGACTCGCTCCGACAGGGCAGTCCTACACTGCGTGACTTCCACCCCAGGAAAGCCAGAGGTCCTGTGCCACATCAGCGTTTCCAATTTCATCCCGGCTGCAGGAGCACACAGGTAGTGAGCGCTGCCTCCCTGCTCTGCTGTTTGCAGTGAAAAGTGAGAACAACCGAACTACTCTACCATTCCCTACAGTCACTGAACAGTGAGCAGACCTGTACTTACTGACAAGCTATCAAGCCCTGGCCAGTTTGGCTCAGCAGTTAGAGCGTTGGCCCATGGACAAATTCTGGTCCAGGTTCCATTCTGGTCAAGGACATTGTACCTCGGCTGTGGTTTGGTCCCCGGCCCTGGTCAGGGTCGTGCAGGAGGCAACTAATAGATATCTCTCTCTCTCTCTCTTATATATATGTATATATACACGTATACATATATACACACACACATATATATATACATATATATATATATATCTCCCTCCCACTCTGAAAATAAATGGAAAACTATCCTCAGGTAAGGACTTAAAAATAAGTAAATAAAAAAGATAGCCCTGGACGGTTTGGCTCAGCGGTTAGAGCAACGACCTGCAGTCCAGACAGACCCAGGTTCGGTTCCTGCTAAGGGCGCGTACCTCGGTTGCAGCTTGTCCCCGGCCCTGGTTGGGTTGTGCGGGTGGCAGCCACTCGATGTGTCCCTTTCACGTCGATGTTTCTCTCTCTCTCTCTCTTCCTTCCATTCTATCTGAATAAAAAATGGAAAAATGTCCTCGGGTGAGGATTAAAAAAAAAAAAGATATCCATGAAATTCTGCTCAGTAACGAAGTGAGTTGTGTTATTTTAACCTGCACTGTCCCCCACTAAACACACACTGGGACTGTGTGTGGGAGGAGGAACACGTATGCGCTTATATGCACATCTTTTTTCAAGGCATCAACATGATACACCACACAAGTGGCTGATGGGAGATTCAGCTTCCCTACATATTGCTCTACTGCCTTAATTTTTTTTTTTTTATCCTCACTGGAGAACATTTTTCATTTTTTTGCTCAGATAGAAGGGAGAGAGAGGAAGAGAGAGCGAGAGAAACATCGATGGGAAAGGTACACATTGAGTGGCTGCCACCCGCACGACCAACCAGGGCCGGGAACAAACTGCAACCGAGGTACACGCCCTAAGCGGAAACCGAACCCGGGTCTCTCTGGACCGCAGGCTGATGCTCTAACCGCTGAGCCAAACTGGCCAGGGCTACTGCCTTAATTTTTCATAAGCATGATTACATTTCTAATTTTAAAATAAAGAAAAACATTTTACACTATTACTATTCCGTCTTTATGACACAACGCCTGTAAGATACAAGCTGTCCATGTCGCCCCTAAGTGAGCACAGAAGGGAGAAACACCCGTGGGACAACGCACCCAGAAGTCCTCCATGGGGGAGGCTCTCCGGCAGACAGTGCAGGTGGCGGAGGCAAAGGACCCGTGAGCTTCGACCAGCTTGGAGCCAGGGATGCCTGACACTGGAAGTGGAACCAAGTGCTGTTGCCTCTGGAGTGTGTGGGGTGCACAGGCCCCAGAGCACAACTGCTGGGCTTGGGAGGCCCCAAGAGGAGGCCCCTTCTCTGTCACCGACAGGGACGCCCAACCAGAACCTGCAGAGGGGAGACTCCAGACAGAGCCAGTCACAGTGAAAACAGCACACACACATTCGATGTAAGTTCAGATCAAACTGCACCCAACACCTAGGAAAACACTCTACTCCACAGACACCACGTAAAGGTGAGAAAAGAACAAAGACAACACATTTCCAAACATTGTGGGAAAGCAGACAAGCGGGAACTCATGCTGGCCGTGAGTTCTGGAAGCTGTGGGTGCGCAGACATGGCCGCAGGAGCAGGAGACTCCTGCTGTCCTGGGTTCGTCCTGACTCCACACATGAAGGCCCTCGGCGGCCAGGCACCCTGCCTTCTCGCAGACCTGCCCTGCGCGTCCTCGGGAGCAGACACAGTCCCCAGGGGTGTCCGCTGCTGGACAACCCTGCCAGCATGAAAACATTCCTGGACTCAAATGATGCCTTTCTTCAAACTACAGACACGTGTAGCCTGGCTCAGGTGGCTGAGTCGAGGTCAGCGCCTGCCAGCATCTGCAGGGAGGGACGGGCCCAGCGCGTGCTCCACTCAGTCGCACGGCCGCGCTCAGCTCCACGTGGGGTCACTGCTTGTGGCCACTGTGTAGACACAGCCAAGAAACTCCGTCACACACAGTCTGATAAGAGTAAGGAATTATTTGTGTGACAAAAGCACAGCTATGTTGTAAAAGTCTCTGTCTTACAGAGACAGCCACGGTGGATTCAATTGGTACCATGAGGAGTCTGCTTCAGAATCAGCTGGAGGGGAGAGAAGGGAGGAGAGCACGGATGAGGACAGGACGCGGGGGATCACTCCATTCTCCTCTTTGCCTCCATGTGCTAGAAAAACTCATCATAACATTTTTAAAAAGTCATCACATCAGATGAGCAAAACTAGAAGCTCCTCATGTCAACTTCGGTTCTACCAGACCAGCAGGTACTCTAGCAAACAGGCGCCGTGAGGTCCCAGCAGTGACCCTCCCAGAGGGCGCTGGCGTCAGGGCGGAAGGCAGTGTGAGCAGACAGCGAGCGCTATCCCAGGGTGAGGGATGCTGGGAGGCCGGCTTACCTCGCTCCAGCCCGTCGATGTTCTGTGTGTAGAGGCGCAGGAGCAGCCCCTTGTCGTGGAGCAGCCGAAGGAAATAGTGGATGATGTTGGGTCTGTAGTTCCCAGGGTACATCTCTTTGGCCCACGTGCAGAAGGGCCTGGGGTTATGAAGAAAAAATGAGAGTTCGAAAATGGCCTCGGGGTACGGGACATCAGCGTGCTGGAAGCTACTGTAGAAGCCAGTCCCTGGAGACCTGCAAAGAGAAGCCAGAGCCATCAGGAGAGCTGGGGGGGAAGCAGCCAGGGTGGGAGGGGGTGCATGGGCTCGGTGGGGCACCTGAAGTCCGGGATGCCACTGGGAGTGCTGATGCCAGCCCCCACCATGACCACCACCCTCTGGCAGGCCCTGGCTTGAATCAGCTCAGCGATGTCCTGCAGAAAGAGCTTCTCCTTCTCACTGCTGCCTCCACTTCCAAAGATACTCGAGACGCCAGCAGAAAAAGGTACAGGCGTCCTTCTACCTGCAATGCTGTCAGAAAAAGGGGCGTGGCCAGGGAATTGCCAAGCAAGTCCAGGCAGGTGGTCGAGAGCAAGCCATCCACCTTCCCCCACCGCACCACTGAGATGACCACGCACATCCCTCCTGTTCCCCAGTGACCACCTTTCCCATCATGAATGAACATTGGGCTCAAAGAGAAAGCTGTTTCTACTCAGAAATCAAGACTTATTTGGGGGAAGAACAGCTCATAATAATGGAAACTGTGGGAATGAGGAAAGCACCATTTCCAACCCCTATGACCACAGGCCAGTGCTGACAGGGCCGGCTCCAAACCAGGAGCACTCCTTTGTGGGCTGCAGGCTCACTCTGCAGAGCCATCCACACTAGCACACCTGGGATGTGACAAATATGAAGTAACAGTTAAAGAAAGTCAATCTTCTCGCCTGGCCAGTGTGGCTCGGTTGCTGAGGGTCGACACAGCACCAAGAGGTCGCCAGTTCGATTCCCAGTCAGGGCACATGCCCAGGTTGTGGCCCCGTCCCCAGTGAGGGGTGTGCAGGAGGCGGCCAGTCGATGTTCTCTCTCATCGATGTTTCTATCTTTCTCTCCCTCTCCCTTCCTCTCTCTCTAAAAATTAACACAGAAAAAAGAATTTTAATAAGTAAGAAAGGTAAACTTCTCAGACTTTACACCAAATATCACCAGGACGAAAAGTGGGTTGAAGAGACCGTTGCAGGAAGAAACACCCCTGACAGGCAGGGGTCCAGGCTGCTGCTGACTCAGCACCCCACCCGCAGCCAGTTTGCAGGCTGCTCCCGTCACAGCCAAGCAAATCTGCGGCCCAGCCCAAGGGTTTCCCTCCCTCTGGAGGCCTGCCGGGCACTCACAATGAGACCCCCTGTTTGGGAGTGAGGCGGTCTAACACAGGAAAAAAGGCAAGACACACAATAAACAAGCCGCAGGCTGCAGTGAGGCCTCAGCAAAGCAACAGGAAGAAAACACAGCAAAGCAAGTGACAGGAAGCCTGAGGCGTGGGCCTGGCAAGGCCTTCGGAGTCGGTGACCTGCTCTGAGGGCCCTAGCTGGGCACATGACTGAGACCTCCTGCTATCATGCTGGCCCCGCCCGAGTTCAGGACTGCCAGCCTGCTGCTGGTTGCTTGGGGCTGGGGCTGGACATCCATGACTTCGGCACAGAGACCCCTCCACCCTGACAGGAAAAGAGGCAACAAATCATCAGGACAACCTTCCCCAGACAATGATGACTCCAAGATAAACACAGACATAAAGACAGGAAGCTGAGGATTCCCTGACCGCACTTGGGATCGGGAGAGAAAGAGACCCCTAAACGCACACCTCCAGACATGTGTCAGCACAATTCAGAGTTTACCTCCTAGGAGTATGACCCTAACTCCCTCTCCCATTTGCTGGTCTTCTGTGTTCTTTTGCTCCTTACAAAACCAACACTAAAATCTCTGCAAGACTGACCTGCTTTGTACATGGCTGCCAAGGGCTCCCTGCAGCTCTCTGCTCCCACAGGATCCCAACATCTTAGCACCACAGGTCCCACCCTAGGGACGACTCTCTCACACACTCCTTTCAGCCAAACAAGGGCTCTCAGATTCTCACCCGCCTACACCCAGCTCCCTCTCCACCTCTGTGTGTAGAGGCCAGCTCCACATGAAGCCACTGCTGAACCCAGTGGGAAGCCACTTCCCCTCCTCCGAAGGTGACAGTACTGGCGGCCTGCTCCCTCCAGGGCCACCCCTTCCCCTGGTGTAGTGACCCTGCAGGGCTGCCTCTCACTCCACTCTGGGTCAGTGATGGCAGTTCAGGGACTTGCTTGCCACTGAGTCCACACGCAGACTTCTGCGTTGTCACCTCTCCTGCCATACACAGCGTCATCTGGATTATCGAAAGACCAGACAGACCTCTGAAAGCTATATGAGAAAAAGGAAAATGACAGGGGACAGCTTAGGCGCAAGCCCGAGGGCACCAAAAGGAGTCAGGGCCCGAGCTTGCTGCCTGTCTTGTCTAGTCAAATACCAGGAGCCTCAGCAGTAACAGTCAAGCAAGGCAGAGAGACAAATTTTAGTCTGGCTTAAAAAGATCTATAGCTATCAACCTCCCAGCCAAGCAGATGCCACTCCCTCCTCCCATGCTCCCGCATGGGTGCCCATTCTGTCTGCCTGCAAGTCAATGGCACCTCCACAGGGGTTTTCTAATGAGAACCGGGTTAGATGGTCGGAAAGGAAAACAATGCTCTGGCTGCAACATGTACTGAGCTCTCCCTAAATGCAAATCACTGAGAACTACAGGAGGAATGAGAGGAAAGTCGTGACACTGTGACTTATACACACTTTGGTCTTCACCCACAATGGGCTCACAGCACCCCACACGTGGGATTAGGAGCATCTTTTGTTGCAATATTTGGTCTCTTATCCTCAGTTCCAGAGATCGATTCAGAACCATAAGGTGAAATGGGTGTCTTGTTATTCATAACAAGTCCCTTTCAACCACAACTGACTTAAGGTTAATGAGTGACTTTTGGAAATTCCCTAACGATGGGGGCTGATTGCCAGGGGAACCAACTATAATTAGAGGGTTGGAGCCTCCCTAAAAACACAAAAGGAGCCCTGGGCAGTTTGGCCCAGCGGTTAGAGCGTCGGCCTGCGGTCCAGAGAGACCCGGGTTCGGTTCCCACTAAGGGCACATACTTCGGTTGCGGTTTGTCCCCGGCCCTGGTTGGTCGTGCGGGTGGCAACCACTCGATGTGTCCCTTCACATCGATGTTTCTCACTCTCTCTCCCTTCCTCTCTCTCCCTCCCACTCTATCTGTACAAAAAATGGAAAAATATCCTCGGGTGAGGATAAAAAAAAAAAAAAAAAAAAAAAACACAAAAGGAGGGGGCTCAGAGAGCTTCCAAATTGGGGAACCAGAAAGCACCCACATGCCAGGCCCCAAGCCCCACTCACGGGACTGAAGTTCCTGCGTTGGGGACCTTCCAGACCTGGCCTCCTGTATCTCCTCACTTGCTTATTACTGTCCTTTAATAGTCTTTGTAATAAACCAGCCAGGCTGGTGTGGCTCAGTGGCTGAGCATCGACCCATGTACCAAGAGGTCCCCAGTTCGATTCCTGGTCAGGGCACATGCCCAAGTTGTGGGCCCAATTCCCAGTGGGGGGCATGTAGGAGGCAGCAAATCAATGTTCTCTCTCATCAGTGTTTTTCTCTCTCCCTTCCTCTCTCTCTAAAAAAAAAAATCAATAATATCCTTTGTAATAAACCAGACATCTAGTAAGTAAACTGGTTTCCCGAGTTCTGTGAACTGCTCTAGCAAAGTAATCAAAGCTGAGGAGGGGGTCATGGGAACCTCCAATTTATAGCCAGTTGGGCAGAAGCACAACTGACCACCTGGACTGGCATCTGAAGCTGGGGCAGTCTTGTGGGACTGAGCCCTTAACTGTGGGGTCTGGTGCTACCTCCAGGTCAATCATGTCAGAGCTGAGTCAAATTTGTGGGGTATCTGGTAACGGAGAACTGCTTGGTGCTACTGAAAACAGACATGTATCAGAGAAGTTGTTTCCATTGCGGAGTGCCCGATGAATGCAAGGTGTTACTCAGGGACCCCATGGGCACTGTTCGTGCGAAAACTACCTGGACAGAATTTTACCAAACGTCTAGACCACACTGAAGGTGTGTGACTTGGTCTCCATGGTACATGGAGTACGACCGGGTGTCCAGGGATCCTGAGGGGCAAGCACGCGTGCTGCCTGGGAAAGGGAGACAAAGGGCCAGTTCCCACCAGAGCCCAGATAAAACCCAGCGGGCAGAAATCCCACTGCGAAAGCCCTGCCAATGCGCTGCTCCTCTCAGGCCCCCTGTGCCTCGTGCAGGGACAGCCCAGGCCACCGCTCGGCCAGTCCCACCTCGGGCCTGCCGGTGCTGGGCTGGAACGCGCTGCAGGGAAGCAAGTGTCCGCCTAGCACCTGCTGGACCCTCGGCCGCGTGGGCACAGGAGGTCTCGGGGTTCTCGAAGAGGAAGACTGCGGTGTCAGTCCACCCAGCAGGTCACCAGTGTCCCTAGGAGCTGCGTAGGACAGCATCGAGCGACCGAGTCGTCCGACTCCGGGCATTTCGAGGAGCTCGCTGACAGCCAGGGCCTCGCGGTGTTTCCACTGCCCGGTGCCCGGCCCCAGACCCGCGGGCCGTCCCCAGACCGGGATTCCGAGACACGCGGGGGCTGTGCGGAGGCCGCCACGAACGCCTGCTGGGGGACCGCCTGCACCACCTTCCCGGGGTCACTGCCCAGGATCCCACCATGAGGGATGGAGCTAAACCGTGAGCCGCAGACGAGGCACTTCGCCGCGGCATTTTCTGGAATAACTGAGGACGGGAAACGACACCAGGGAACGTGTCCTCAGGGACTTGACGGGCCAGGCCAGGAAAGCGTTTGCGGCCGCGATCAGCCTCGGAGCCGCCCGCGCTACCGCGAGAAGAAACGAGAATTGAGCCGGGAGCACGGCGGCCAGTTCCGGTTCTCCCTGCGCCCCGCCCGCCTCGCCGGGCTCCGAGTCCCTTCCGTGCCTTCGTCCCGGCCACTGGCGACCACGCCAGCCCCGACGCGGCCATGTCCGCCCTGCTCCCCCTGCCCGGCCCCGCGGCTGCTACCCGGACGAACCGAGGCCGGCGAGCCCAGGCCCGCTCACCGCCCGGGCCCCAGAGCCTGAGAGCGCGAACAGCAGGCCAAACCCACTGCGCCATGCTCGCCATAGCCTGTTCGCGTCGACGTCCCCGCGCGTCACGTGCCCGCCCCGCGCGTCACGTGCCCGCCCCGCGCGTCACGTGCCCGCCCCGCGCGTCACGTGCCCGCCCCGCGCGTCACGTGCCCGCCCCGCGCGTCACGTGCCCGCCCCGCGCGTCACGTGCCCGCCCCGCGCGTCACGTGCCCGCCCCGCCCCGCGCGTCACGTGCCCGCCCACCGGGAGGTGCCGACGGGGCGGTCCCTGGTCTGCAGAGCTCCGCCCCGGGCACCACAGCCGGAGCTCGCGTGTCTCCCTCCCGCGCTCCCACGTTTTTCACTCGGGATGTTGGGGACGCTTTGCGAGCGCTTACCATGACCAGACATTACATTAACACGTAGTCCTCGGAAGACACTCCTGGGAAAGGACAGTTACCGCCCCCACGTGAGGTGCGAAACAGCCCGCCGACTCCAGGCGCCCGTACCCCTCAGCCCTTCGAGGGCTCGACCGTCCGCGCGGGAGATCGGGGCAAGCCAGGAGCCCAGACGCGCGGTTACCCTGACAACCAGGGGCGTCCCGGGCCGCGTACGGCGCTCCCGGCCTGCCCTGCGCGGCGCCGGAAGTGAGTGAGCACTTCCGGCGGCATCCCCGCGGCGCTGACTTCTCCGCGGTAGCTGGGCTCTGGCCTCTCTCGCCGTCATGAAGGACGTACCCGGCTTCCTGCAGCAGAGCCAGAGCTCCGGGCCCGGCCAGGCCGCCGTGTGGCACCGTCTGGAGGAGCTGTACACGAAGAAGTGAGCGGGGACGCGCGGACACAGCGGGATGGAGGCGGGAGGCGGGGGAAGGCCGGATGCGCTCGGACGGGACGGGGCGGAGGGCTGGCAGCCCCCGGGGACGAGGGTTTTGGGGTCACAGCCTTCCTGACCGAGGGACTGTGCTGAGGTTCCTGATTTCCCTTCCTCTGGTCTTAGCGGAGGGATCGGGGCTGGCCGGTGGTTTCAGCTCTGGGTCCCATTCCGACAAGCAAGCAGCCTCGTTTCGGGGCAGAGCCCGGGGTCCCGCCCTCGGCCTTGTCCGGGGACCGTGTGACAGCCGTCTCCCTGCGGTCTGGAGCGGAGAGAGCAGAGCCAGCGAAGTTTTCCTTTTCCGTGTTTTGTCCGCAGCTGCTTACACGCCGGGGTGCGACCACTTGTCCCCTCTCCCGTGGGCCTCGCGTTCCGCTGCATTTCGTCTTGGGCTTTGCGCCCCAGAGCGATTTCAGCGTGGGTCTGACTCTCGGGGCGGCTAAATGGCCAGTTCTTGAGCACCAACCTCTTTTTGAATGAATGGGAGCCTTTGCCTGCTCGGGGCTGGCGGTGCTCCGTGGGGGAATCGGCTCTTGTGATGGTGTGCGGGTGAAGTACCCCCGTTTAGCTCGTGCACATTACATAGCTCTTCCACGCGTGTTTAGCTGGTGTTCAGCTCTCTGCTGTCAGCAGCTTTTGAGAAAAGAATTCTTACCGTTTACCAAATAATTGTTTGTGTTGGGTAACCCTTTGTATTTCCCAAAGCATTTTATTTGCATTCTTAAACATTAGCTTTTGGTTTCAAACGTGCTGTGGTGTCGGAGGTTTTCTTACTCATTTTATTCTCCCATCATCCCATTCACAGATGAGGAATTGAGCCCAGTTTAAGCTCTTTTCCTGAGACACTCAGCTAATAAGGGGAAGAGCCAGGATTTCAACTTGAATGTGTGTGATTCCAAAGTTCTTCCCCGCTGAACCTCACAGTAACCCTCTGAGGTGGTCTGGAAAGCTGAGTCTCCAGAGGAGAGGTGATCTCAAGGGGTCATAACTGTGGGGTAGCACTGACTTATTGTTAGCATCTGCGTTACTTTAGCACCCTTCCTGGCCCACTGGAGACTGGCTACTGTTTGAGGGGACCGTCTGGGCTGACTGTGTCTGTGACTGGACATTACTTCATAGGTCTTAAGGGCCTTATGTTTTTCAGGTTGTGGCATCAGCTGACACTTCAGGTGCTTGACTTTGTGCAGGACCCGTGCTTTGCCCAAGGAGATGGTCTCATTAAGGTAAGTGATTTGTCATGCGAGGTCAGATTATATAAACACGCTCAAGGACTTTTTAAAATAATAGGTGGGATTTATTTATTTGTTTGTTTATTTATTTATTGGCACGTGCCCCTAGCGGGAACTGAACCCGGACTCTCTCGTCCGGAGGCCAATGCTCCAACTGCTGAGCCAAAACAGCCAGGGCAGGATTTGCAATAATACTGTGCTACACCCATTCAGCAGTCACTTAGTATCAGGTCCTGTTTTAAATGCTCCACACGCTTACTCTTCACAACAACACTGGGAGACAGGCACCGCTGTTACCTGGATTTGTACCGTAGAAGCGGAACCAAGAGATTGAGTAACTTGCCGTAGGTCACAGCTAATAAGTGACACACGTTCTATCTTCTAAAATCCCCGGCTAAAATGCTCTCTTATAGCATCCTCCTGTATCTTACTGTTCTCAGACTTTTTTTTAGTACTGTACTTTCGGAAACTGTTGCTAAAAAATTGGAAGTTCAAAACCAGTTGGGGGTGGGGTAGGATACAGAAGAGGATCACCATGGGATCTTTAAAATAGCTCGCACCTCCCCTCTCCCACCCCTCACCGACTCTGCTGGCCCAAACCTTTGTCCTGGCTCGTGTGGAAGGCAGAGCGGCTCCTGTGCTTTATGTGGGGCAGGGGGTTTGCAGAGGGAACGCTGCCTCTATGACAGCACTTTTAGAATGTCGTCAGCAGTTAAAAAACCCTGTCAGCTCCAGCCTTCCCAGGTCTCTGAGAAACCCATGAATCAGTTCACTGATAACTTCCTCTCTGACCCTTTCCTGACATCTTTCCCTTTGATGCTTTCTCTTGGACTCTGACTGAATCAGGAATTTGCACCTGCATGGACTGAGAGCCAGTCTGTTTGCCTCGGGTACATAACTTCATGTGTGCTCACAGTGACGCTTACACCTTGGCTGCACCTGAGCTCCTAAGGTTTTCCTGTGGTTCATACCCATCGGTTTGACATTTTACTACTCAGAGTAGATTGTAATCATCTGTAAGCCTGGAGATTTTGCTGGGCTCTGTGGAGAAATGCTAAATCAGATGTCTTAATATTTGTTCCTGAAGTTCCAAGTCACAGTGATGTGTAATTTATAATTGTTTGTTTTTATCCTATGCTTTCTTTTCTTTTAATCACTTATACACATAGCTAAATATTTCCTCAACCTGTAACATGACCTTTAAAGACTGTTGGGACCCAGCCCACATAACTTACAGATAGATCGTGTTCATGAACTTGCAGTCACCAGAAGTAATTTGGAGTTTCTAGATCTGTGGACTTCTGTTGTTTAGGTGCTTCTATAGATTATAATGGGCATCAGAAATGTGAAACAGTCTCTGTTAATGAGCAAGATATCTTTAACATAGTCCTTTGTAATGAGAAGACCTTTTAGCCCGGTGGGTGTGGCTCGGTTGAGCATTGTCCTGTGCATCAAGAGGTCACTGTTTTGATTCCCTGTCAGGGCACATGTCCAGGTTGCAGACTTGGCCCCCAGTGTGGGTCAAGCAGGAGGCAGCTGATCAGCGTTTCTATCTTTTCCTCCCTCTCCCTTCTTCCCTCTCTAAAATCAATGAAAACATATATATACACACACACACACATTTACTTGTGGGGTTTTTTTTATCTTTTTTAGGGCTTCTTATTTACATGGCTTTCTGCTGGGTAACAGATTGAAATATCTAACGGGCTGCTACAGGGACATTTTTGTTTTCTTTTTCCCCTAAGTTTTATCGATAGATAATTAACATATAACATTGTGTTAGTCTCAGGTGTATAACGTACTGATTTGGTGGGGTATAGATGGGAAAGGATCACCACAGTAAGTTTAGTTAATACCCATCACCTCACAGTTACATTTTTTTCCCTTGTGAAGGGAACTTCTGAGACCTACTTGCTCAGCAACTTTCAAGTATACAACATAGCACTGTTGACTGTAGTCACCACGCTGTATATCAATCCCCAGGACTTAGTTTATCTTATAAGTAGACATTTGTAACCTTTTTTTCCCCCAATTGATTTTTTGAGAGAGTTGAAGGGGGGTGCGGGGAGAAACATTGATGTGAGAGAGACATTTTGGTCGCCTCCTGCACATATCCTGACCAGGGCTGGGGATTGAACAGGCAACCCTTATACGTGCCCTTGGCCAGGAATCGAACCCACAACCCTTCTGTCTTCAGGCCGATGCTCTATCAACTGAGCCGAACCAGCCAGGGTGGAAGTTTGTATTATTTAACCCCCTTTACCCATTTCACATCCACTGTCCCCCACTTCTGGCAACTGCCATTGTGTTATCTGTGTCTGAGCAACTGGGATCATGTTGTATTTGTCGTTCTCTGTCTGGCTTATTTCACTCAGCATAATGTTCTCCAGATCCATCCTTGTTGCAAATGGCAGGGTTTTATTTTGTACGGCTCTGTGTGTGTGTGTGTGTGCCCGCGCACATTATGTTTCCTTTCACATTTTTCTTTCTGTCTTCATATCCCAGAGGAACCTCTGACTCTCCTTATCCCACCTTGACCTTGTCCAGAGATTCCTTCTCCCTATTTTGCCAGGTTAACCAGACATAAGCTCAGAGGTCATATTCAACTCCCCTTCTCTGTGACCTGCCCATAGAGTCTGGCTCAGCTGACCAGCAAGCCTCTCAGACTGCTTGTCTGTCCTCACTGCCATGGCTCCCTCAGCCTTTCCCCTTGCTGTTCTCTCTGCCCCACTCAGAACAGGGGTGTGATCATGTGTGTCAGAGGCCCAGCCCCCCCCTGCTTGCCACTCGCTCTCTGTCGCTCAGAAATCCTCCTGAAACACGGTGCGGGTTTCTGTCAGTGCTGTCGCACGCTTGTTCCTGTCTGGGGTGTTCTCCCAGCCGCCCTTCTCCACACCAGATTTGTCACCTCCTTGCTCTTCATTCCTTTGAATTTGTCACCATTTCTGGACTAACCTTTGA